TTTCTCTCGGGTTTTCTCTGCTACATTAGAGAAGCTAGAGCCCTCTGACTTCATTGCTAAACACTCCTTTATTTGGCTCCATTGGTCTCGTTCTAAACAACTCGAATCCGCGAGAACAATACGTTTTGAAGAACAGAGGATGCTCTGTTTTGGCAACTCTGGAAACGTTTTCAGATTCGTCCCTGAGAAATTAACCTCGCGAAGGTAAGACAAATTCTCGAATGATCCCTCGATTTTATCCAGATCGGTGCATCCCGAAACATCGAAGATCTCTAGATGTGTTAGCTTCTCAAGATTTGGAAGAGCATTTAGCTCGGTACAGTTTCTTATGATGAGCTCCTTGAGGTTAGATAGCTCTGAGATTTTGTCAGGTAGCTCACAGAGATTAGTTCCCGAAAGATTCACTTTGTGGAGGCAAGATAGATTCTCGAATGATCCCTCGATTGTTTCCAACTCGGTGCATCCCGAAACATCGAAGATCTCTAGATGTGTTAGCTTCTCAAGATTTGGAAGAGCATTTAGCTCGGTACAGTTTCTTATGATGAGCTCCTTGAGGTTAGTTAGCTCTGAGATTTTGTCAGGTAGCTCATGAAGATTCGTTTCTGAAAGATTCACCTCATGGAGGTAAGACATCTTCCCAAAGGATCCATCGATCCTCTCTAACTTATTGCAACCAGAAACGTCGAAAATCTCAAGGTGTGTCAGTTTCTCAATGCTTGGAAGCTCTTCAATCTGGCAGCAATTCCTTAACAGAAGCTTATTGAGATTGACAACATCAGCGATCGTGTCGGCTAACTCGGGAAGACTTGTGTTTGAAATATCAAGGATCCTAAGCTCTTTCTTCTCCTCTAAACACACTTCAAGCATCTCCACTAAGCTTGTAGCACCACATGCATCAAGAATCTGAAGGTTAGTCAAAGGCCTAAGCTGTGGCAATCTCTTAAGCCTTGTACAGTTTCGCAGTAAGAGCCGGGTCAAGATTGGCATAGTGCTGAAATCGTTAATAGAGTCCTTGAGATGAAATATCGGTAGACGGATGATTTTAGTCTCCGAGAAGTCTAAGTGTTCGAGCCGCCGAAGATGAGCGAAGTTCTTGTTCTTGCCTTTATAGTCCTTCCAATCTTTAACTCTATCGAAGTAAGACTCAAGTTTCCGAGCTCCCTGAATGTCGATAACTTCCAGTTTTTTTGTTTCCACATTGAAATTAGGCAGATCTTGTAGCTCAGAGCAGTGTCTTAGGATGAAGCAACGGAGCATGCTTAGATTTTCGATTGTGGAAGGTGAAGATTTGATTGCAAGTCCCGAAAGGTTAAGGCTTTGAAGCTGAGTCATGTTCTTGAAGAAATCATCGGGGATGTTAACTAGAGAACTAGCACCAGAGATTTCAAGAACATGTAGGCCTTCACGATCCATGAGCTTATCGATGTTATCGATGAGATCGCAGTCTCTGATCACGAGTACTCGGAGTTTCTTTAGCTTAGATAAAGACAAAACAAGTTCGTGGAACGTTGGCTCAAAGAGGACAACAACTTCAAGATCTTGCATCTCTGGTTTCTCAAAGAACTTCCCAGGAACCTCTCTACGTAAACGATTTCCGCTAGCGATAATCGTCGTGATATTCTTCTTCTTCGATTGAATTGTTTGTATCATATCGTCGATCAAGATGATTTTCCCAAGCCCCTTTCTCTTGTCTCCACCGTAAACTCTGTCAAATCCAAGAGAAGATCTTCCAAAGAATCCACAATCTTGAAGATCTAATAGGTTGCTCATAGAAAATTCTGGAACTACCATGTTGTCGTCTTGTATCTTCAAGATTCCTCTGTTCATAAAGTCCATTAAAATGGAATGTCCTTCCTGGTAAGCTTTCTCAACCGACTTAACCGGATCAAAATACCCTTCAAGCATCCAATGCACGATTAGGTCGCGGTAGTAAGCGCATCCAGAGTACTTGTAGAAGTCCAGGATATGCCAAAAGCAAGCAATGACCGGACGTTTGACCGTCTCGTCAGGCTTTAACAGCTCGTAGCATAATCGCAAGACAGGATTGTAGAGGCTGCGATCTATAGCGTTCTTGGAAGCAGCAGCTGCATCTAATGACTTGGATGATAGAATCAGTTCTTTAAAGATCTTCCTCTGCTTCGCAGACAACGACTTGATGCTTTTTAAAGACTTGACTAAGACAACGATTGCAGCTGGTAAGCCCTTGCTCTTGCTCAAAATGCAAGACATCAAAGAAGATTCTTTGATCTCTCCGTTATCGCAAAGTCTCTGCAGCAGAACCGACCAATCTTCAGTGGTAAATGATGCAAGTAAGCCCTCGGCATCGCGGAGTAAGTCCAGGAGTAAGTCCAGTGACTCCTTTTCTGTAAGCGGACTGACTTTGATCGTTGTCGATTCTTTCTCCTCTCGTTCATCTCTTCTTGTGACTAGAGTCTTCACAGTCGAGTATCCCTTAAGAAAATCTTTGAGATTTATCTTTTTGGTACCGGGTGTCGAAGACGCTTGAGGATTTATCTTTTTGGTACCGGGTGTCGAAAACTCTTGAAGATATATCTCTTCCATTACATGTTTTTCAGTTGTTATACTTCCTTCATCATCCAAAATCAACAGAAGATTATCCTTCTTGTTTTTTTTCATCTCTTCTGAAATCTTCTCTTTCAAGCTCTCCAATGAATAATCAAACTCCTCAGGTTCTTCGCCTTCTTCAAACTCGTAAATTATCGACAACTGAGCAGCTAGATTCTCGTAAAGCGACTTCTCGTCTTCAATCTTTTTGTTTAGATGTAACCAGAGGACATTGTAACTAGAAGACTTTTCTTGATTAACAAGTTGGCTAACTTCTTTTGCAACTTCTTTTGCAAGCCATGTCTTCCCTATACCAGCTTCACCAACGAGGACAGTTTTTGAAGGTACACCGTCTTGTCCCAATGAATCCATTATCTTCTTGAGAATCTCGTCTCTGCCTATTTGATCTTGCTTCTCTTGCTTGTTGTCCATCTCTAGAAAATAAAAGAGGAAATTTTAAAACCTTTGATTAGAGTTTTCTTGAAGAGATCTTTTTTTTTTTTTTTTTTTTTTTTTTTTTTTTTTTTTTTGGTAAAAATTCTTGAAGAGATCTTTGTTACGATAGTAACTTTATTTTGATGAACTAATATAATTTAGGATTTTTTTTTTCCCAATTTGATCAATTAATTCAGAGAGCTCCATACTATATATATCCATGCAATATATGACAATTACCAAATAACAATGCAAATTTTAAATTTAAAATGAAATAAAGAGAGATGAATAAGAAGAACCTTAATTGTTTAGAGTGACTAATCAGATTAATTTTCTTCACTGATAGTTTTTTTTTTCTTTTCTAGTTTTTGTTTTGTTATCCTTCGTTGATTGATTCACTTATTTATACAAGTCCATCTCCGATAACTTCCATGTCAAGCCTATCCTGATTTTGTAAAACAACAAAAACAAAAAATAAGTTTATATTATATTCTGTCGAAACAATAACGCCAAGTATAAATTATTATATTCTTCCAAGAATTTTTCACCCTTATTAGTATTTCGGAGTAACATATGTGTCCCTTGTTCCAAAAAAAAAAAAAAAAAAAAAAAGTAACATATGTGTCCCCATTTTTTCCGGAATATATGCAGGTAACAATGTCTTTTGGAATTGTTTACTACACAAGCAAAACTTTTCTTTTCTTATTACATACAAAAAGAAAAAGCTAACCACATTTAGAAAAGTGAGGGTATAGATGTTTAACTTAACATATTAAGGAGAATCTACAACTTCTCGTAAGCTGAAAGGAAATTAATATTCTAATACTAATTCATTACTTCTTTCATAAGTGAAGTATTTTGAAAGATCAGTATTCTTTAAGAGCAGTTTTCACATATGATGAGGGGCGTATCCAGAACAAATATTAATCTGGGGCACATATATAATATGAGTTTTTTAAAATATAAAAACTGCAAAAAAAGAAAGAAGAATATCATTTTACTTGATTTTTCTATTTTTTAAATAAATATTGAAACAAAAATTTATTAAATTCACTAAATGTATTTATATTTTTCTTCAGAATTTAGATTATATTGGTTTACATTAGTGTGACTTGAAACTGATATAGTGATATGTTATAAAAATTACTAAAGAATCAATGTGTTTTGGTATATAAAATAAAATAAAAAGAAAAAAAATGTAGAATAGAATCAATAAAAAAATAGAAAAACATGAAAGAAGTCCAGAAAAAAAAAAAAAAAAAGGAAGTATGTGTACAACAAACAAAAAGAAAATTGGAATTGTGGGGAAAAAAAAAGAGAAAACAAAGTAAGACTACAAGGATCGAAGTCAGGAACTTAATTTTCTACTGGGGCACCAAACACCAATTGATCTAAATAATAATTATTGGTAATATTCTAAACTTTTTTTTATAAAAATCAGTATGGAGCACGTGCCCCACCCCTCTCCTCTTTAGATCCGCCACTGCATATGATAGTAAAAAATTACAATGATCATTTTCCCAAATTTCCAAAAATACTAGTATAAGTTTTAGGTATATGAAGAGTGTCTAAAGCTTATAAATGAAAACTACATGATTTACTAACTCTAACTAAATTTGTAGTCCCTAATCTAAAGTTTGTAATATTTTCAGATTTTTTTCTGCTAAAGTATGGTAAGTTTGAAAGCTTTTTTGTTACAATTCAAGGCATTTATCTTCCTTTAATTCGAATCGAAAATAGTGATTGGTTTCTTTTAGACACATTATTGATTAATGTAGATTTAATCTTGTTTTATGAGAAATCCAGTCACCAACAAACAAATATTTGTACAATCATACATCATATTTTATTTACTCTAGAGCCCACTAATTGAAAAAAACCATTATCCAAGAACTCCTCGTCAAATCAGTAGTTCAAGCACTTCCGACATACGTTGTGTCGTGTTTTTTACTCCACAAATAATCAATCAAGGATCAATCTAAAAAAAAATCGTGTAACTAAGATAAGAAAACTTTGTATTAAAAGCTCTTTATATTCTTTATTAAATGCCAGAGGTTTACACTCACACAAGTGACAACTCTTAACAGTTTTTAGAACAATAAAATAACTTTAAATAGTAATCTCGAGATGCTTCCTTATAGTATTAGAGAGTAAATACATAGATATTGCGTTAGATAGAAGTTAGAAGCTTTGCTTCCTATCTATGTTTCCAATTTCTTCCACTTTCACAGGCTCAATCTTCGCCAGCATGCGAGCAGCCAAAGGAATACCACAAGACTTATCCATAAGCTCTTGTTTGTATCTTCCCGGATACCTCGGATTCACTTTTGGGGCTACTGCATCGCCCGCATTTGTGGCTGCTGCATCGCCCGCATTCGTGGCTGCTGCATCGCCCGCATTCGTGGCTGCTGCATCGTCACCCTTGGTGGGTACTGCATCTATGTAAATCTTCCACAAGCTCTCTGCATCGGATCTTGGAAACAAACGCTGCAGATTCTCTTCTTTTCCTACTATTTTCTTCGCCAATCTCTCGTCTCTGCTAGTCATAATCACTCTCCCACCAAACCCTTTAGGAAACCCACAAGAAAGATGTGATTTTTCCTGCTGCTTCTTCTCATCATCGAGCCTTTGATCCCACTCGTTGTCTTCCCAAACATCGTCCAACACGATCAGATACTTCTTCCCAATCAGATGCAAGTGAAGAGCATACAATAATCGAGCGAGAACCTTTTCTTTGACTGTCTCTTCCTCTCTTTCCCCAGCTTCATCTTTGATACTCTTCTCTTCTTCTGCTTCTGTTTTGATGTGTTCAAACATCTCATCTTCAACTCCAAGAGATCTCAAGATCCTCTTCACAACATCTATTTTGGGATCTTCGTCTTCCTTTGTTTCTTTGCTGTACATAGAAACCCATATCCTCGGGAAATAAACTTGTTTCACATCTTCGTCGTTGAACACATCCTGACACAATGTCGTTTTCCCAACTCCGTACTTCCCCACAATTGCTAGAGTCTTGAACTCTTCGGATTCCTTTTGCTTCAGCAAGAAGTTCTTCAAGAACAGTTTCTCGTTTATGAAACCATGAATGAGGTGATCCGGAAGCTCAGAGCTCGTCACCACGCGGTTCGCCTTAGGCCGCCCTTTTTTACTGCTGTTGCGAGTTGGTGATGAATCGCCATCTGTGGACAGGTTTCCATGCTTAGAGGAAGATCCACTCTGTTTTCCAGACGACCATTTCTCATATTCTTCATTGAAGGAAGACTTGATTTTCTCAAGCTCTTTATCAATTTCAGATTTAAGCTCGAGCTTCTCATCAATTTCAGATATAAACTTCTTAGCAAGTTCCATAAGCTCTTCTTGTGTTTCTGAGAAAAAAAACTAAAATGGGAGGAATTTCTGGGTTTCAAAGTCTGCAGCTTTCACTTTGGGGTGACCACAAATATAAAATAAGTATACATGTAATATATATTCAGTCGAATTATCTTTCTCTGCAAATTCTTTATCCCCACAAGTAAGGAATAAAGCAACTAGAAAGGGAAAAAACAAAAAGAGAAAAGATATTGTTTGATTAAGGGCAAAGCATAAACATGTGGTGTGACCTTAACTACACTTCTGGTCTTTTTCTTTTTGTGAAACACGTTTAACTAACCTGAACTGTCTATGAATGCTACTGTGAAATCCCAAACCTCTTATAATTGAATCTCTGTAACTGTAAGACACAAGCGCTTCAGGTTTGGTTTTACAGTGTTTCACCAAACAAGACAGGAACCATGTTCTGATTTGTGCTGAATATTTCACTCACATTCACATATTCCAATCAGAGTAACTATCTCGAAATGTGTCGCAGATGCTTAAGATCCTTGTGGTGGGTGGCATTACATAGCTGATGATTTATTGTCCACCGAACCTGAAAAGAAAAATGATAAATCTAACTGTTCTCTATACACTTTGTTCTAATGAATATAGGGATTTTCAGTGACTAACAAAAACATTTCCTAGCTAAAGATACATTAACATGAGACTGAAATGAGTGTTGGAGTACAAGTTAGTTAAATGTAACAATAAAGGCAAGAAAATGCTCAAGACTAGAAACCATGATTCTAGCTTCTATTTGAAATACTAAGACTTAACTTATCTTACCAATGACAAAGAAAACGGATAGAGAAGAACTTTGCACAGGGATATAGCAAAATGTTAAGACTAACTGAATGTACCTTTGCGCACATGGAGAAGATGACTCCCAAATTTCCCACAATCATGTGAAATGAACAAAGGAAAACTTTTTATGTCAATGGCATTATTTAAGTGAGACTTCTTGTTAAAACCAGAGCACATCTCAGTGACTTGTCTCTGCAACCCCGCGATTTGAGGCATAAAATCGCTCCAACCATCGGTTGAGAGATTTTTACCAAACAAATTAAAAGCACCCTTTCTAGTTGCTTCCACAGCTGAAAACAAAATATCAAAAAGAAAATTCAGCAGACAAAAAGATTAATACATGAGCAGTGCATTCAAGTTGCAAAAATCCCAAATCAAGAAAGTTCAAAAATAAGAATTTTACTTGGTATTGAGAGAGAGAGAGAGGTACATACTGTTATAAGGAGCTGCAAGAAGAAAATTGGTGGGGAGACCAATGCCGAGACCAGCAAGTGTTATGCCAACACTAAAACCAACGCCGCAGCCTGCACCAACATAACCAATGACCTCAGGGCCAAAACCAGGTCCCCATCCGACACCACAACCAATCCCAATCCCCATACCCCAAAATGCTCCATAAGTAGGATGCACAGGATTCCATTTCTCATATCTCCTAAATATACCTTTAATGATCATCAAGACCTGCAAAATTAGTAAAGATTTGAAAACAGAATAAGTTAATAATGACTCACTAAATGATCTTTCAACCCACTGAACTAAAACAGAGAAGCTGAACCAATGGATATTCATCACTATCACCAACAAAAACATAAAGTTCCTATTTTTCCATAAAATTCGAACTTCCTCAGGATCCGGAACAATCTAATAAGTAGTAATCAATAAACCAATTCCAGCTGAAACCTTGGGAAAAACCTTAGAAATAGAACAATATCGACAAAGAACAAAACTTGTAAACAAATTTTACCATTAATTAATAGATTGCTATTTCAATTCTTCTCGATCTTTCTCTTCTTTGTTCTCTCACCTTAATTCGATCCCCAAGTGCAAGCAAACACTCTTCGTTCGCTTTCTCTGTTTTTTTTTTCTCAGACGAAAGAACCAATGGATCTGAACCACTCATCGTTTTACGCTTGGATTAAAAACATAAGAACCGGACCGGTCGGTCAGACATAACCGGTACAATCTGATCCGGTTTACCAAACTAAACTACGGCAGCGACATATATAAAATCGATTTCAGTACAAATTCATGTTACATAGAGCAAATTGGGGTTTAGAAGAATTGAGAACAGTTGATAGAAACTAAATTATGATTACTCAACAATAGCTAAATATGTTTAAGACAAGAAAACAACAGCGTGTTACACAAGGCAAGAGGTAGTGGCTTTTTCCAGAACCAGTCTGGCTCTAGAATCTTCATTGGTGGTCATGAATTGCTCTCCAAGTCCGAAATGAGCCATCAGAAGCCAAACAAAGTTGATCAATTCACCACCTTTGTTGAGTTGCGCTGCATGTTGTTTAGAATCACAGTGACTTGCTGCATAGCAAAGCATCTCCACCCACACTTTGCTCACTACTTCCCACATGTCACCATCTATCCGCTGAAGCTCCTTGGCTAGTATATTCGCTTGGACTAGCACAGACTTGCTTTGGTATCCTTCGGTGTTCTCATATCTTCGCTCTACTTTCTTATAGGAATCCATTATTGCTTTACAGGCCTTCTTTGCATCTCTTGAATCCTCAACGTGCGTCCTCTGAAACAGTGTTTTTGCCTCTTGAAAGTTTTTGGCTTCTGCTATCGCCTCTCTGAATCTTAACTTGTTGATTCCCGCAACTGTTGACATCATAGACGGCTGCACGATTAACAGGTACATCATGTAGTCTGATAAGGTTTTGCTGAACTCGTTGCATCTGACATTTCTTGCTGCATTGTCTACTTGTGTTTGGTGTAGGAGCTCAGTGGCGACGTGCCACACCAGAATGCTCTGATCGTAATCAACTTCAGTAACATACTGCAGCAGTTTCTCGTGACAATCTCCTACTCTCATATCCCTCAGAATCCAGTCACCTCTAGCCGAATATATGTAGCTGGCACTTTCTGAGCCAACAACTAAGATGGATCTACGCTTAACCTCCTCAAATATGAATTCCCAAAGCTCTTTCGTGAGGCGTGTGTGGGATGTGAATACTATCTCGTTTAGCTGATCTGGGATGCCGAAGAATTCCAATAGATAGTTAATCAAAGGAATCCCAAACCAGAATCTAAGCAACAGCCTGACAGGGTAAAGAACATAATACGCCACTCGATGATGCTTTATGAACAGAGAAATGATGCATAGGTCTATATTCTTGCGGATGCGATTCAAGGCTCTGGAAACTAAGACTGTTTCTCGGATTATGATATCAAAGACATGATCTATGTACAAGCTTCCAATGATGGCATTAAAGAAACTGTGTATGTAACCCCTGGTGTGGTGGATTCTCTTTGGTTTTATCTTCAGGGAGGACCCAATCAGGTTGTATGCATAAATGTACTCCGACCATCGCCGAAATATAGAGAGTCTATCAAGCACCATGTGACAAGGTTGTTCTTCCTCGTGACACTTGCATTTCTTCCACTTCAGTTCCCTGAAACTGAGGAGCCAATTGAGAAATCTCTCAAACCTGGTATCTTTCTTGTCTACCTCCTCCTTAGGCTTCCTCAATCTAGCAAATGTCCAGTCGGATACACAGTATATGAGGATGGAAATGAAATCGAGTGCGATTCCACCAAAGATCAAAGCATAAGTAAGACCAACATCAAAACAATCATATCCATCTTTCCTGGATGTTTTGAAGATGTAGAGAGATGCAAACAAGCAACCCAAGGCTATACAGCGGAAAGCAGCTCCAATCCAGGTGTGCAAGATGTCAACTTTGGTGAATAATGTTCCATAGATGAAGCTGAGCTCTACCTCTAGAATCCTCAAAGCATCTTCTGCCGACAATGACTGAAAAAAGAGCTTGCTCTCTATCCACTGCTGAGAGCTATAGATGAAATCTACCACAAGACCTTTGTAGATATTGAAGTACTTATAAGCATACTGAACAACCTGGAGATGGGTAATAACCTCTGGCCTTACTGGTACCTGAACTCCTTGCTCTTTCTCACGCTCCTCCACCCTAACTAACTGGCTACGCTCTTTTGAAATCTTCCTAATTTTGTATTCCTCCATGAACCTCGCGTAGTCGAGTCCAGGTTCGGGCTCCCCAAGCATCGAATCCTTGAACCTTTTAAGACTAGCTCTACGCATTGCTTGTATCCTCTCAGTATACTTGATGAGTCCAGCCATAAGCATGAGTGATGTTGGTACCAATAGACTGTTGGGTATTGATAGCAAGAACACGTAGAGAGTAGCAATGAATTGGCACAACAGACCGAACAAATTCCTGAGCCAGAGCTCATTATCCTCCAGAGCAAGAGCGGTGATGGTGTCAGGGCCACCAAGGTGCAAGAGAAGAAATGTTGCCCAGAACGCTAAAAGCTCGTTGGTCTTGGGTGACTCGTTCGGTTCAGGGTCGTCTCCTGCGCTATCTGAGATCTGTCCCACGGCATAGTCAGCTGCCCAATTGGCTAAAAGGTAAGCTGACCAGAGGAGAAGCCGGAGAAGCCTCCTTGGTGTTCGTTTTCGATTTGGTGAGAGAAGAACAAGGATTGTCTGAAAGACAAGACTGAATATCACAAGGCCACGAATGTTCCATTTGTCCCAAATATCTTTCACTCCTTTGGGTATTGCCTCGACCATCTTTCACTGCCTTGATGCAGCTCGGTTAGAAACAAGCCATCTCGACTATAACCGGTGAAGGTTACCCATCATGTTGGCTCTAAGAGTTTTCCGTTTTCTAGTTTTGGATTCTAAAATCAAAATAGAAATAAATGTTGTTTTCTTTTTGAGTCTTTTTTTTATTCTTACTAGTGAAAATTCAGACGTTGTGGCCCGCCACCATGTGTTCCATGTTGAGGTATCTCTCTGTTCCCTCAAATTTATGATCTTAAGAAATCTTATTTTTCTTTTCAAAAGAGTTGTTGTGGCTTTACGTTTTTTCATCTCTAAGAAATAAGAAATATCTGCAAGACGATAACTATTCAAAGATGGCATTTTTTTGTTTATTGATAGTAAGAGATTTGTAAACAACACAAAACAGAGGACATTTAGACCGAAACATAAGCTCTGAAGCAAGGAGAAGAACACAAGTAAATCCTTGTACTAGTGACATCGGTATTAGTAGTAGTAGACATCAAGAGCAATGGTTCATGGCAATCCTTGTGACACTGGTTGCAGCGTAATAGTGATGTCCGGTCATTGAGAATCACCTCGTACTTGCGTCCATGTTGTGTGATGAAAGTAAACCCTGGAGTCATGTTTCTGAAACTTCCAAGGACACACTCTGTGTGAAGAACCGGACCACATTCAGTACACGTGTAGTGATTCCTCATTACTTCGATTTTGTTTTCGCATATGTCACACCAATATGGATTGGTGGTATCATCTTCACCAATGGTGTCGGAGAGCAGATGCTCATCGTACTTGTAGATCACTTTATCGGGTAAGGTTGCACATGCGAAACACAGATTGAAATCGCATTTAAGACAACTTAGCACATATTTTGGCCTAAGATGATTGCAGACATTGCAAATCTCGGCCTCATTGGCTGGAAGAATTAAGAATAAAGGATGTCCGGGGTGAAGACGGTAGTCAAATGGTTCGGCGACTGAAGAACATCTAACATCGAACTCGATATGGCCGTCTTTGCACTCCAAACAACGGTATCCAAACCCACTGAAATGTAAGTCACAAGCATCACAGCGAGAAAGAGTATTAGGACCTGACCTTTCATCGTCCGCGTAAAGAGTAAGTGGGTGTACATGTAGAAACGTAATTTTATTCTGAGGATGATTAGCACATCGTTCGTGGAAAAAGGAATCGCATTGCAGACACCTGTAAAAGGGGTTAGAAGTGACGGGAAGAGAACATCCTGAGCACACAATATGATCTCTAATATCTTCGTTTACGAGCCTTAGATCATGTTGATGAACTAACTTTTCACCAACAAGCTTACTACTCTCAATCTCTTTGTATTCTTCAGACTCCCCCTCGAGCTCTTTCCCGTCCCACACATCTGCCCTCAATACACATCTCAAATGGACAGTGTACAAACAACGTTGACAATTATAAGCACCGTATTTCCCATCAATCCTCAGATGACAAACTTCGCAACTCCATTCCCCGGGGCCAAGAAAGCAAGTATGAGAAAGGCGGTGCAGATGACGGCTAATTTTTATAACGAGTGGAATGTTTATGCAATCTCCGTGTACCATGAAAGAACATTTGAGACATACATACGGAGACTTATTGCCAGAACGTCCACAAGCATTACAAGTGAAAGAGACATGCCTCGGTAAGAGGGTGAGTGTATGCTCGTGGATCTTGCTCTTCTCGATCACAAGCGATGGTGGATTCTTGACACAATCAAGATGCGCAGTGAAATTACATTTTGAACATTCATAAGCAGGCCCGTTAATCACCTCTTTTCCACATAAACCACATATTTGATGAGTTTCTTCTCCGGACAATAACTCTTTACGGTTTAAAGGGTGTCGGTGACTGGGAAATTCCACTGCATCCATGGTAGATGTAATATTTTTGGTTTTTTTTTTTTGTATATGGAAAGCCAATTTTGTGTAATGAGTAGCCAATTGTTGAGAAACCTGCTTAATATAACATTATGAAATTTTATAATAATGATTTCCTGGATTGATATATTATGATAAATGAGAAAGCAAACTATAATTTGCTTTTCGAAGAGAAAATGAATCATTTTGCTTAACTCAATTTTTTTTTTTTTTTAAAGTAAAAGGTATGTCTCTAGCCTAAAAACAAAGAAACGTAAAAGCATGAGCTGATTTGTTGAGAAACTTGAGCTGCTTTTACTTTAAAAAGTAAAAAGCATAAGTAAGCCACACAAGAAAAGCATAAACATGATAAATCGAATATGTCCATAGTAGCGATGTGACTGAGAACCAAGAAACAAAAACAAAAAATTGAACACATGAATTTTACAAGTTCAGTTATATAGCATATGTCCCAGCGAAAAATTGTTTTCAGGGAAAATTAAAGAAATATCGGATTAATTTGACGACCTTCTTCTCCGACCTAAGCTAACGGTCTTCAAACAAACAACCGTAATAACCAAATCAAGTTAGTTACCGCACGAGCTTTTCACGTGCCTTGTTTGTTTACTTGTCTTCCATCGAACCCTCTCTCTCAACCAGAATGTCTACAACACAGCACATCAACATAGATCTAAATTTGAGGTTTTACTAATCACTGTTAATATTTTGAGAGACTTAAGTTTGATGAATTTGAAGATCTCTAGAATCTATATATCTTTAACAGATTAAGAAAATTCCTTGTATAAAGAATGCAGAAAACACCCACACACCCACACGATAAATATGGGCAAAAAAGGAACCAAATTGAAAACTCGAACTATCGGTTCAAATCTTTTGTGTTTTAGTACCGAACCAAAAAGGAACCAAATTGAAACCGAATCTAGTTAACCTGATTTCGAGCACAACACTAGTCTTGGTCAGATCTCCAGATTCCAGTTCCATCGCAGGGAGTGAGGGTAACTCTTGGACATTCATAGTTCTCAAGAAAGGCCAGATTTGGGAAGTAGATTTGCTTCAGCTCTATCCACCCAAGCTTTAGCTTTGGGAGTGACGTGAGACGCAAGACTTCAACGGCACATTTTGTTGCCTTCTCAGGCAAGTCACCGACACCCTTGAGTCGTCTTCCTCCACCAATGTGGAGCTTTTTCAAGTGAAGCAGATTCTCGGGATGAAGCCAAGTGGGCAGTTCTTCGTGCGGGAAACGCTGCAGGTCCAGTTTCTTCAACTGATCAGGAAGAGTTTTAATGTTCGTGGAATCCTCGCCAATAAAAATATCCCTCCTCCATGTCACCTTCAAGCTTGTCAATGCTTTGAGTTCTACAAGATCCTCCATCATTTTTCCTACACCAAGATCATCTCGGTTTATTTCGATGCTGAGCTTTCTTAGCTTCGTTAAACCCTTCAAATAATTAAGTTTGCACGCAACACCCTCATAGACTTCATCACTAACCACAAAGCCCTTGAGAACCTCTAACCTCTTCAACAAAGCCAACCTAAAGGGAATCCATTCCAACATATAGCATCCTGTCATATTCAAGTAGACTAGATTCTCAAGTGAACCTATCTTTTCTGGAAGTTTCTTCAGGCCATAGCATTCCCTTAGGTCCAAGATGAGCAGCTTGCGTAGCTTACAAACCGAACTGTTTAGGCTTCTAATGGTTTGGATCCCTTGAAAACTTAGAAACCTTAGGTTCTTCAAATGTTTCAAACATTGCATTAGCTGAGGATTTTGTACCTGGATCTGGCGTTTCTTACTTCTTTCCCATCTCCCCAAATAGAAGACCTTGAGTGACTTGAACCAAGTTGTGGATAGCTTGATCATGAGCTTTTTGTTTGATGGCTTCTCCGAGAACCACTTGAATGTGAAATCTGGTGAACTCTCAGAAACATTGAACACAGTTTCGATATGATCTCGCGATGGCATTTTTTTAGGGATTGATGACCCCTCCACAAGGCACACCTTTCCCATCACCGTTTTTTTTATCCTTGGCTTCTTCCCTTTACGATAGATATCAAAAATTCCAATCTCCTTGGAGAGAAGAACAACTGAAGAATGCACAAAAGGATTCATCTTATAGCTGCTTGGAGCCACTTTGCGCCTCTCTTCAACGGGTTCAACCAAATTTTTCTCAGTGAATTCCTTAAGAACTTCCCTAACAGCTTCTTCAGCTCCTTCGACAGGTAGAACCCCTTCTCCTATCCACCAATACATCAGCATTGTTCTATGAACCTCTCGATTCTCTGGAAACACTGCGAAACTCAAAAGGCAGATCTTCTGTTCAATTTCAAGCTCCTTAAACTTCTGTATTACTTGTCTAAAAACCTCTCCTTTGGTGAGATCTTCCACATTTGTATACATACTGGGAAGATAAAAACAGGATTTTCCTTGATGAATAAGCTCTTCATCATCTTGAAATCCATATGCTGCTGCTTTTTGTTTTTCTGGCTTGCCAGACAACGAGGGGACTTGGTAAAACAAGTCAGAGATCTTTGTCTCCATGCCTTCTAAGTCGGGCTTGATCCAAAACGTAGTTTGAGAAGAAACCCTGGAAGAATCCAAATTTTTAATCAGTGACTGAACGGTAGAAAGATGTTTATCAAGCTCTTCTCCCACATTTGTTTGAAATTGCTCCAGCTTTACCAGCTTCAGTTTGAGCACCTGGAGGCGATGGTCTAGCCTCGTAATCAATTTGCCATCAAATGCAACATGAGTCAAAGCAGCAGGAGCACTTCGGCTCCTTCCTAAAGTTTCTTTTTGATTATTTCTTTGATTAATCCCTTCATCCTTGTCGCTTCTTCCTACGGGATCTTGCTTTATAGAACACAATAGTGTTTTCAACTCTGATAAGCTCTTCGAGATCTTATCGACTTTCTTCTCCAAAGTATCTCTTGATTTCTGAGGCTGTGACTTGTTATTGGCAGCCATGACTTTCTCCACTAAGTATCTCCTTAGCTAATGGTAAATTAACCCTTTTCTTCCCAAGCTCTCAAAGCAAACGCACCATCTGCCTGCAAATCTTGAAAGTAGTCGAGAAAGTAACAACCGAATCGAATAGAAGGGAAAGAAAAAAGAATAGGCATGAACTCTCTATTACCTATACCATTCTGAAATCTTATAAGAAACAAACAGAATATGCAATAATACCTACTCTTCAGCTTCCACACAATACAACAAAATGAGAGAGACAATGTCAGCTTTTTTTTTTTTTGAGATAAAATAATATGCTTAACAAAAGTGTAATAAAACATGTAAGAGAAAAAAAAAAAAAAAAAGTGTAATAAAACATGTCGGTCTGATGCCTTCTCACGCTAGGTATAGAATCTGTGTCTTCATTGGTTTCTGTTTATCATTCAATTAAGAAGACAACAAATAATCCAAAATAGAAAAGAAAAGAAAAAACATGATGTTGAAGACATTTTTTTTTCTCAGTTTGTCAGTCAGCTTTTTTTATTAGTGGGAAACACTATTCTACTGCTACCATTTGTTTCCTTAAGGTTACCATTGGCCAAAGAAATCTTATCGAGTCGGAAACTCCCTGAGGTTACTCTATTCCCTCTCCTTCGTTTCTACATTTTCTGATTTTCAGTGTAGTGATCTATAGACCTGTAGCTGTAGACATATGTATAAACTCGCATCACATTAGCTTCAAATTTATTGATAAATCTGTTCTCTTCACTAATTGACCTTATCTCATTTCTCAGAACCAATAAATAGAAAGAAAAATCCTTAGCAAAACTAGGAAGCGGTTTTCAGGAACTAATGTGTAGTAATAATGATACTGACAATCAACATTATTCTAATGTTTTTCTTTGTCATATACCAGAAATGGGTTCACCTGGACTACACCAAGATATGAATGATATGAGATTGTGTGAGAAGATAGCAAGAACTCTGTTTGGTCGTGGAGGTGGCCTTCAAAGAGTTGTTCTGGCTGGGGAAGCTGGAACCGGGAAGACATGGTTGGCAAAGATGGTAAGCGAGCATGCAACTAAGGAAGGCATGTGCTACTTCACCCTCTGGTTGCATCTCAACAAGAGGTTTGACGATGTAATGTCGCTTTATGAGAACATAGCTTTCCAACTTGAAGTGTATGATAGAGATGAGATGGAGGGGAAGCAAGCGGAGGACTTGTTAACTGCTTTACAGGAGAAAATAAGTGCAGTGCTCAGAACAAAGAAGAGATCATTGATACACACTTCATCTGCTGTAAGGGTGCCGTATCTTCTACTGATACTTGATGATGAAGGGTACAAGACCAGTGAAGATACTGTGATGAAGGATTTGGGCCTTGAGAGCTTTTTCAATAAACAAAACTTAGATCTAAAACTACTTATTACAAGAAGGCAAAGAGATGAGAACACTACACGGTCTGAAATTGAGTTCCATGCCACAGATGAGTCACACGCTATACTTGAAACCCTTACTCATCAGAATTTGCAGGATTTGTTTGAGTCCCTTATCAAGGATGAGGCAAGGGGTTTGTTTGAGTCCCTTGAGAGAGCTTGGAAGATGGATGAGCCATTGATACCTCACGTGCTGCAGAAAAGTAATAATTTGCCCGCTGCAATTGCCATGCTTTCCAAGTCGTTAAAGTGCATTACTCATCAGAAAAATTTCAAGACTCTTTCTCCAAAACAAGAGAAGGTTTTAAAAGAAATTTTGTTTCCCTCCGCGCTAGCCCTTTCAGATTATGGTTCGAAGAGCACTGTCGAATCATATCGATACAATCCCATTCTGCATCTTGCTTATCAGCTGCTGGAAACCGATGATACATTGAAGAATGCCATCGTTGATTGTTTTTGGCATAGCTTGGACCTTTTTAAGCATTGCGGCTGTATTAACTACAATGAACTGATTACACAGTGGATACTTGAAGGCTACTTTGATCCCGTTCGATCTGTTAAGAAGGCTTATAAGGATGGTCATGATATCTTGTTGGAGCTTATAAAGCGCGGTATGCTGAAGATACAAGAGGGAGATTTTGTTGTACCAGAGGTGGCAATGAACCAATTAACTGATCTCCGGCATCATGGGTTCTTAGGCAGATCACGGCTCCGATTTGCTTCGGTTTATGGTGGTGACAAAAACAAAAGTCTAGGGAAAGTAACCCAGATAGATGATATGATAAAAGCAGTACAAGCAAATAAAAGAGAGAATATTTTAACAATACTGGTAAGTGGAAACCGTCTGCGTCGAGAAACTCCTAAGGAGTACTTTGAGCAGCCACAGATGAAAGATCTTGAAATACTTGGTCTTTTTAGTCCCACAATGGAATACCTTATCCGGTCTTTAAGAGAGCTCAGGAAACTCCGAGTTCTTGTGATCAGGGACTATGATCTACTGCAAAGCATGGAGGACCTTAAGGATCTACGAAGACTAGAGGTTCTTGAAGTTTCTGGCGCTAGCTCTGTGGAAACTATCTCTGATGACTTCTTCGCCGCAATGTCCGAACTCCAAAGTCTTAACCTCTCTGGACTTCGGATCAAATCTTCACCTTCCAGCATTTCTCAACTGAAATACCTCCACAGTCTCATTCTTAGGGACTGTCTTGTATTGGAAGATTTGCCAGACATGCAGTATTTAGATAGGCTCGAGGTTCTCGATGTCCGTGGTGCATGCAAGCTAAGAACTTGCTTTGGCATGAAAGGAAAGACAAGCAGAAACCGAACATTCTCTCGTCTTCAACAGCTTCAGCTCCTTGATTTTTCAGAGAGCAAACTAAAACGTCTGCCAATATTTCATAACCCAGCGGCAGCTGCCAATCTTCACTCACTAACGCGGCTCTCATTACGCAAATGTAGCAATTTAGTAAAATTGCCCAATCTTAGACCCTTATCGGGTCTCCAAATTCTCGATCTTTCTTGTGGTACCAGCTTAGTGGAAGTTGCGGCAGTATGCTTCGAGCAGAAAGAAGAACTCAAAATGCTTAATTTTTCAGGCACGAAGTTGACCAAATTACCTTCCACCATCTCTGGGCTATATAGCCTTCGTCAGCTCCTCTTAAGGGACAATTCCAGCCTAGAAGCTCTCCCAAACATCAAGGGACTCATAAGCCTCGAAGTCTTTGATGTTTCTGGGTGCACTAGCTTGCATAAAATTGAGGGATCCTTTGAGGAGATGTCGTACCTGCGTGAAGTTAATCTATCTGGCACCAGAATAGAAACCTTACCAGAGTTGCCAGTGAAGCACAGTCTATGTTGCCCAAAGCTCGTTGTTCTGGCAGATTCAAGAAGTTTGATACGAGATAATTGGAGCCAAGTAAAGGAAGCCATAACAAAAGAGATATCTGAGAGTCTTAGCTCTCCTGGTACAGTCAATAGAATCCGAGAAATCTCAAAAAGGGAGTCAGGAAGATTGAGGGAGAAACAATTGCATGAAGCTTGGGCCTTTGATGGTCCTGCAACGAAAGGTGACCACAGGGAACATTTTTACAAAGGTCGTATATACAAGCTTATCTATATGAATGCTGTACCATTTTTCGATACTGAAAGTCATCAGAAAGTTCTAGAGATCCAAGGATCACATGGCATAGATCAAGACAAGGAAACCTTAGCTAAAGCTGAGTTTGTGGCTTTTGTGGACAAAAGCACCGAAAGTCTCTCATCTATCTTCAATGATTTGAAATCAGTGAGAAGTTGTTGGCTGGAGATGTGCGGGGACATACACAAACTTTTCTCTGGTGTAGATGAGGAACGTCTGAGAAACCTGGAGACTATGTCCATAAAGAATTTTCGGTTGATGGATAGTATATGCAGTAGCAGCTTCAAGAATCTGAAGAAACTAAGCTTAGATTGTTGCCCAAGCATTAAAACGCTTTTCCCTGCATTCGAGCCGCCCACCAGCCTAGAAGTCCTGAAAATAAAGTTTTGTGACAAGCTGGAGAAAGTGTTTGAAAAACAAGTTGAAGTGCGGAACCTGCACACACTGTGTCTTCTTGAGTTGCCTATGCTATCAGTTATTGGTGCTACACTGCCTAATCTGGAGATTTACAAAAAAGACAAATGCCCAAAGCTGAATACTTCAGAGGAAAATCTCATAAGCAGAGTAAGTCCAATGTTATGTCTATCACTACTCTGCAGTCTGTTTGTGATCTTTTGTTCCTCTAGTTTGTGTTATCATTATGAAGTTTCCAAGTCCAGAAGTTTCTAAGTCCATAACAATCTTTTGCAAAAATTTCTTAATGCTTATGTTTGTAGGACAGAGTGACGGTCTAGTGCAATGAGGATATATGCAAAAACACAGAGGCAGCCGAAGCAGGATCAAGCTACCGACCATTCTTTCTCTGGACCCTTTTCCTAATTATATAATCTGTTCTGTGTGTGTGTGTGAATCACGACCATATGTAAACCTGTGTGTTTCATGAGCTCCTAGTTCGTAGTCTGGCGATAGATGCTCTGTTTTTTAATGGACCCTAAGGCCTCTGTTTTAATTGGCGATAGATGCTCTGTTTTTCAATGGACCCCAAGGCCTCTATTTTAATTGCTCTCTGCTTTCTTGGCACCATTACTACAAGTTATTTCAAAGAGTTGCATGAATTTGATATTTTGGTGGTGCTCCAAGATTAAGGACGTTTAGACAGACACACTTGATGCAGTGGGCCATGCTCTCTGTCGCTTTATGATGTTATCGTTTTTGAAAAAAAAACTTGAAATAAAACCAGTGCTTTTTTTGTAGAAAAAGACTACAAACCCCAAAAATAACCAACAAAGGAATTCCACAGAGCACACAAGGTATCTAGAAGCACTAAAAAAGAAAAAAGTTTTAGAAGTAGATCTAATCAGAACCGTTTCTTGGCAGGAAACAGAGGAAAATGGTGGAAGTGATTCCCAAACAAATCAAAGATGTTTGGGATAGCTGGAATATCAGGGGAATGATCATCCTCAGTCTCTCGCTTCAGACAATTCTCATTTTCTTGTCCCCCTCGAGGAAACGAACATCCAACAAGTTCCTGATCCTGCTAGTGTGGTCCTCGTATCTCTTGGCAGATTTGTCAGCAAATTTTGCGGTCTCATTGATTGCCAAGAACCAAGGTAAAGCCCCTAAACCCAATGATCCTCCTCAAAACAAGAAGCTCCTCGCCTTGTGGGCACCTTTCTTGCTTTTACACCTAGGTGGACCAGACACCATCACTGCGTTTTCCCTCGAAGACAATGCTCTTTGGAACAGACATTTTCTTGGGCTTGTCTTTCAGGCACTTGCAGGTGTATATGTGGTTGTCCAGTCTCTACCCAATGTGCTTTGGGTGATGATACTGTTGCTGTTCATTTCTGGGACTTCTAAGTATCTGGAAAGGACAATTGCGTTGTACCTCGCGAGTTCAGACAAGTTCAGGGGCTCGATGTTGCAGGCGTCCAATCTAGGGTTTGACAACAACGAGCAAACAAAGAACCTAGATACGGACTCTATAATTGCGTCTGAGATGTACATTAAGGAGAACCGCCGACAGCCGAAACCTCTGAAACTCATGTTTCCCGATAGAGGCTTGACCGACCTTGAAATTCTTCAATATGCTTTCTTATTTTTCAACAACTTCAAGAGTCTTATGGTCAATAACATCTTCAGCTCGGAGCTGCGTGATGAAAGCAAAGCATTCTTTAGCTCATTATGTCTACATGATGAAGAAGCTGAAGCTCTAAGGATTATAGAGGCTGAGCTTGATTTTATCTATGAAGGCCTATACACAAAAGGTGCGGTTCTTCATAGTTGGCTTGGACTTGTGTCCCGTCTTATATCATTGGGATCTCTTCTGTCAGCCTTCGGCATCTTCCATTATAGACACAACAAGATCAAAGAATTTCAAAAAGGCGACATTGTGATCACCTATACGTTGTTCTTAGGCGGCATAGCTCTGGATGTTATATCCATCCACGTGTTCATGGTTTCCGACTGGACAACAGCCATCCTTGCAAAGCTTAAGGATGACCCCGACGAGATGTATTCAAGAAAAGACATTATACTCAATTGGATGTTTTCTTTGAAGAGGCCAAAGTGGAAGAGGCAAACATGTCGTGCTGGACATCAGCAGGAGGCGCTTAACACACCGTTTCGACTCAGAAGATGGAACGAAAGTACCAAAATGTTAAACTTCATCACATACTCCATGAATGTAGATACAGAAAAGATCCACAACCCAGCGGGTAGAACATGCAGGCAATTATGGAAGACAGGTGTTTTCCCGTTCAGTTACGCTATCTCCATCATCCACACTTGGTTTGGACACATCACCAGATGGTTTCGTGAGCTTCATCAGAATATTCTCCCCCATGTGATCATTCTACCACCAGGAGAAAATCAGGTGGCTCGTTTTGTTATCGCCACCTTCAAGACCCTTGTTGAATTTTGGTACCATGTACCTTACTTTTTTGCGTTTCTTGGCACCCGCTTCATCAACTTCCTGGGTATCAAAGATCTCCTCCATGAAATAAGACTGGTAAGATCTGTACACAATGAACCCTTGACAAAAAACCTGTGGTCTTTCATAATTTTGGAGCTGAAAATCAAATCCCAGAATCTATACAGCCTGGAGAATACCAAAACAAAATCCACGGCCAGGAGAGGTTGGGCATCAAGCGATACCCAGATTCAAATAGCAGATAGTGAAATGCTATTGCATTACATCAGAGATGTTGATTATGACCATAGTCTTTTGATTTGGCACATTGCCACCGAACTCTGTTACCAAGAAGAAGCTTCCACCAATGAGAACTGCGATAAATATGAATATCATACTGACCGTGAGATCAGCAAAATCCTCTCGGACTACATGATGTATCTCTTGAGCATGCAGCCCAAGCTGATGTCAGAGGTAGCTGGCATAGGAAAGATCAGATTCAGAGACACATTGGCCGAAGCTGAGAGGTTTTACAAGAAAATGGGTATCATAAACTCTAGGAGCGTGAAATTAGCCAGTGAGAAAATTCTTTCAGTCGATACCAGCATCGAACCAAGAGATGTAAAAGGAAATCATAGCAAATCAGTTTTATTTGAAGCAACTTCAGTGGCCAAAGAACTTATGAAACTGGAGAAGGATTTTGGTAAAGACAAATGGAAGACACTTAGCAAGGTGTGGTTGGAGTTCCTCTTCCACGCAGCATCCCATTGTGACGGTACAACGCGTTTGGAGCTTCTTAGCAAAGGTGGGGAGTTCATCAACTTCGTTTGGCTGCTAATGGCTCACTTTGGCTTAGGGGATTGATTATCCCAGATCAAGAATGGCGATTCAGTGCTGCTACAACTTGAGGTGTCTGTCTCAAATTTGTTTATGTTTTGATTACTTTGTGTGTTTTTACTTTCTACTATTAAATAAGCTTCAAAGCCTAATCAAATGCAAATCCTAACATTGAAGCAAACTCATACGGGTTCTCACTAGCAGCTTAGGTATGGTCCAACAGAAACTCACTACCAAACGAAAGAGGAAATTTTCAGATCAAAAAGGCAAATTAGATTCGTGCTACATACCTAATTCGTAGTTGCGTTGTCGTAATTCAGAACGATTGATCAACCTTCGCCATAACTGGAAAACAAACCACGAAAATCCAAAATCTTCAAATCACAGGAGATTAAAATTCACCAGTAATCGAGTACTAACGGAAAATAGTCTCACCTCTTGAAATTTTTTCCGTCATTTTCCTTGCTCTTCCGATCGGCGAATCCTCCTTTGAATCTTCGACTTGTTCAAAAATGCAAATTTTATAAAAAAATAAGTGGACCGGATGATACAGATGCATACCAAACCAGATTAAACCGGTGTTAAGCGTTTGGCTGTATAACAAAAATTTTAAGATTCGAAAGGCGAAGAACCTTATCCATTTCTCCCCCTGGAAACAGAAAAGAGAAGGGTACGAAAGAAACACTCAAAAAAAATAAAAATCGGATGCTTCTCTCTGTGTAAATCTCGTTTAGGATTTGGCTTCCTGGTTCATTTCTGCTCTGACATAATGGCTTCTGTACCATGTTCCTTCAAGCTCTCTGCTCATACCAGATCGTCTTCCAAGGTTATCTTCTCTCTATCTTTTTCAATCTGTGTCTCTGTGCAGTTCATTGATGCTGAGTCAACTCGTTTCTTCTCCTCTTGGTATCAATCAAAACTTAGTCAAATCGTTCCCCTCCATATTCTTGCAATTTCTTTCGGTTGATTCCACTTTAATGGTGTCATAATCATCTCTTAAATCAAACAATTACTCAACTATCTTGTTTTCAATCTCTTGCTGTTATTTGTGCAGCTTGATGGGAACTACAAACAGTGTAGTTTAGTAGAAAGACTGAAAGACAAAACGAAGAGTCAAGTTCCTAAGTCCATTACTTGCATCAACCGCTTGGAGATATCGCGTATAGCACCATTACACGCAACTATGAATAGCCCGAGAGGTTTTGGACCTCCTCCTAAGAAAACCAAGAAGTCGAAAAAGCCGAAACCCGGTAACCAAAGTGACGAAGAGGACGACGATGAAGAGGAAGATGATGATGATGAAGATGAACGTGAGAGAGGTGTGATTCCAGAGATAGTGACCAACAGAATGATAAGCAGAATGGGATTCACTGTGGGTTTACCATTGTTCATTGGTCTTTTGTTCTTCCCATTCTTTTACTATCTCAAGGTGGGATTGAAAGTTGATGTTCCTACATGGGTTCCGTTTATTGTTTCGTTTGTCTTCTTCGGTACGGCTTTAGCTGGTGTGAGCTATGGGATCGTGTCTTCGAGCTGGGATCCGTTGAGAGAAGGATCGTTGTTAGGCTGGAACGAAGCTAAGAAGAACTGGCCTGTCTTTTGGCAGTCTTTTTGGAATTCCTCAGACAAGAGATAGACTAAGCAATGAAAGCTCCTTTGCTCTCGTCTTTGAGATTGATTATACAACAGTCTCATGTAAATTTTGCTGAGAATTTACTTTGGAAATTTTCTATCGATGGGTTTATGCATATCTCTACAAAAATTTTCTTTAGCTCCAAAATCAATTGGGAAGTACCCAATAATAAAAAGTAGTCCCAAGTCAAACTTTATTGCAAACCACAGTTAATTGTCACGCTCACGCAAAAACAAACCTTTAACACAAAAATCAAGAAAATAAAACAAAAGCAGAACCATTGACGACGCAAAGACGCGACCGTCACAAAAGAAAAGGAGACACTTGTTTTCTGATGAATTTGAGACTTAGGGACAAACCAGAGTAAACGATTATAAGAGATACTTTGTAAAGTAAAATATATGCTCAGAAGAGGCTTGCTTGAGTTACTATTTGTTTAGAGGTCATCCAGCGACTTTCCTAGAGTAGGCATTGGTGGTGGGTTGTGTTGGTCTAAGGAACATGTCACGTGTTTCTCCTACCCAACCTGCCTTCATCGCAGGTGGTTTCAGCGGTTGATGCTGTCCAACCACGGACACAGAGTGTCTTCGAGATCCAGTTGCTCCAATGGTCATATTAGCGAGTTTATCAGCAGTCTCGGATACACTACGAGTGACCCGGTTCTTGTTCAATGACGCTGCTCCTGCTTTATCTCCAATTGAATGGATTTGTTTTGTTAGATGAAGTAAAACAACCATTGTACATGTTAAAGAAAAAAAATGTGGGTTTCAAGCTTTTTTTACTTACGAGGACTCTTTTTTCCGGGTGGTCTGTATTTGGAGTCTCTGACAGAGCTTCTCACGGGTTTAGTGTTTCTCGTCCCATCTTGATTAGCCATCTCGAGTTTCCGCTGGACGCCACTGCCAAAAGCGGCATTTGATTTTGGGGAAACATAGCTATTGAATGGCTTAGCATTGGCAAGAGACACCGGGTGCCGTTTAACTGATTGGTGCTCGAATGATCCCCTAGGCCCGACTATATAACAGAAAATGAAATTTAGATTGTAACAATCTCAAAACAGATATAATAATTCCACATCCTGACACTGGCTGTCAACAAACTACAAGATTACCAGGCGGAGGAGTTCTTGCAACAGAAGGCTTGGGACGAAGAGATGGTGGGACATAAAAGCAACTCTGCCATATGAGAACACAGTTAGATAAGGAGTAGAGCTATAACAGTCATCACATATCGTCCAATCAAAAACTTTCTTGTTGTACCTGGAAGAACGGATGCTGCAGCACCTCAGCAGCAGTCGGTCTGCTGCATGGATCCCACGAGCAAAGCCGCTGAATTATCATGTTAAAAGGTGAAGATTACTGTCTGATAATAAAAGAAATACGTTCTTGGATTCATAGAATATCCTTTAAAGAGTTGTTAAAATACCTCAATAAGATTAGTTGCATCTTCACTAGCAGATGGCATCAAGCTTGAAAGAGGTACACCAGGAAGCTGCAAGATGACAATCGTTATTGTCTGATACAAAAAAACCAGTGAGCCTCAAGACACAATTTTTCAAGCTCGAGCAAGTACCTGAGGGAATTGATAGTTTATAGTGTTAGCAAGATTAAGTCCCTCCAACCAGGTCTCCTCAGTTGGGGTGCCTATGACACTGCAGATTTTGTAGATTTCATCTGCTTCACTGCAAGTATGATACGACAACATAATCACTTGTTTATTACAGTACTTTATTATCATTGATTTTGCAACATTTTTAATCAGAAGAATACAAATTAATCACAGCTAAATTACCTAGCCCCAGGAAAAATAGGGCGAAGAGACAACAACTCAGCCATAATAGCTCCCATCGCCCACATATCTGAACAAAAACAATTATCAAAATGTTTAGCACTAAATTGCATCATTAAAGATAAAGTGTAATTATTTCTTGCTACAGTATGGATACTAACCAACTTTTGATGTGTATACATATGACTGTAGGAGTACTTCAGGAGCCCTGTACCTATTAGAACAAAGACTTTGGGGTCAATAAGGCAGCACTGGTATAGCATGTAATCAACATATGGGTCAATGAAGTGCAAATATACATAGATATTAATATTTCTGAATGACTCATTGCAACGCAAAAAAAAAGGAAGCGACTCTTACCAGCGTGTAGAAACATACTCGGTAAAAGGTGGACTCGAATTAACCTCCCGGGCCAGGCCAAAATCAGCAATCTTAATGATGTCTTTAGAGACTAACAGATTTTCTGCAACACCCAACACAATATAGATAAATATTCAGTGTCAAACTATTTAACCATGATTGTTAGAAAGAAAGTGATTAAAATCAGAATTGCCAATCTTCAGAGCAGATGTTTGAAGCTATGTATCTCACACCTCAAGGCTATATTAATTACCTGGCTTAAGATCGCGGTGGAAGTAACCACGCTGATGCATGTAAGAAAGGCCTTGGAAGACTTGAAAGCACCAATTTTTGATATCAGCTTCTGCAAAAAGCTTTTGTCGATCCTTCATAAGCTGGTAAAGATTGCACTCCTGATCAAGATAGAATGACATAACCAAATTCAGTGCAATGAATTGAAGTATCAGAAAATATCAAACAACAAGCAGGAAAGAAGTATACCATGTACTCAAAGACAAAGTATAGGATATCATTTTCCCGGATGACTTCCTTCAACTTCACGATGTTTGGATGATTCATTCTCCTGAGCGACTAATAGGAGGGAAAAGGAGGAATAAGTAAACATACAGTAAACAAAAAAAAAAAAAGCAATTCAACAAAGGTAGTTCAATACCTTCACTTCTCTCAGATTAATACATTCGTCCCAAGAGTAGTACTTCTTTTTCATTTTCTTAATTGCAACCTGCTCATAAAAAACTTCAGTCAGTTAAAAAATCAACAGAACATTCTACCTGTAATAGATAGCTCTCCAAGAAAGTAACTTACGACTTCACCCGTCTGCTTATTTATAGCTCGCCAAACACTACCAAAAGTTCCATCACCAACCTCTTTAATTAACTTGTACCTATAAATTCATAAGGCGTTGAGAAGTAAATTCTTAAGCCACAAATCAAGGGCCCAGATGCCAAAGATATTAAAAAAAAAGTTAAGAGAAAACTAAGCTACCTGTCCATCGTTTTTCTGGTAAAGCAAAGTAGCTTCTTTATATTATTCTGTATGTAAAGAACTTCTGAAAGATTTATATAGCATTAATCTTCCAGTCGTTCGTAGCAAGTACTTGACACCAAGGCAGTAAAATCAATGATTCTCCAGCTGGGTAGACTGACCGTTATTTACTTTGAACATAAACGGGTTGACCATTAAGGCAAAAGAAAGACAACAAGAGAAGAGGAAAACACATACTGAGAACTCAAAGACGCAAGGAACCAACAAGAAAGAATGTGTTGGCTAATAGGAAGGACCCTATGCTCACAACATCTCACTCAGGGGTTCAGACTCAAGGAAACCACATACGTAAAACTTGAAAAAGAAAACTGATGTATCTTTCTTCAACCAGCACCCATAAGAACAAGATATGAAAGAGAGGAACAAAGACGTTTCTCTAGGACTATGCGAAGGAAGAATTTGCAGACTTCAGCCCTGCAAAAAAAACAAAAATGTCGAACATATAAGTATCCTCTGATAGATAAGAAGATCTGTACAAAAAATCTCTTCAAGTTTGGGGTCAAAGACGTCCTCTTAACTTGTCTGCACGTGTTTTTTTCTGAATGATGGCCATACAAGACTTCCGTGTTCATTGTTTACTTATATTTTTCCTTGTCAAAATTTCCTAATTTTTTTTAGCAGTTTTACCATTTCTCAAATTTCCTGATTTTGTCACTCAAAAAAAAAGGTGAAAACCATCTTCATGGATTCTATTCAAAACTCAAACTGGGATAATTACAAGGAATTCAAGTTGTACCAAATGCATAGCAAGCACTAAAGCTCCATTGGCAAACTATCTAAGGAGGGAAGAATCGTGTAGAATAAAACAGCTTCAATCGAAAGCCATACCTGTCTCAGAAATTTGCCTCACGCCTTCCTCTAAAGATCATAGAAGAGGGTTTGACCACTAAGTGCAGTTAACGAAAGAGCCCACAAGGAAATCTGAACGTACAAGAAACCGCCAATCGAGCGCTTCTTGGAATGAGAAAAGCCGATAGTGATAGCAGCTTGGCCAGACAAAAACTTGCTCCATATCTCAGAAGATGAAAATCCACTTAAATTAAAGCCTGATAGAACCTAATAGCAACGAAACAGCAATAAAAAAATTCATAAGAAATCCAAAGATAAACACAAGAAAAGATAGAAGAATTCATCCGAAAGACAGACAAGCAGGGTAAGCTAACAATGGACTCAACTTACATTACAGTCTCATCAACATCAGAAAAAGTAATCATCGTTCATGAAACCACAAACACCTAGCAGCAATAATTAAAATGCAGATAAGATAACAAAGCACAATATCTGATAAAAGCTCACAACATCACCTAACAAATTGGCCCACTATATAACTCACAGATCTGAAAAAGCTTGAAAAAAGCTGGAAACATATCCAATTCGAGGATAAATCAATCATTACCACAGATATGAATCTACCTACGTAACCCTAAATTTCAATCAAATTCGACTCAAACAGATCCCAAACACACGATTCCAATCATAGCAAATGAAATTTTAAATCAAAACCAAAAATCAGATCCAATCTGATCAAATTCGAAACCACAAGAGAACGAGAGACATGAAATGGAAGAGAAGGAGATCTGCGAAATATAAATACCTCAGAGCCAACGGGCAAAACCACCGTCGCCGACGACGGGAAGAGACGGAATCCAGAGCTTCTCTACCTCTTTACCTTTCAATTTGTTCGATCCAAAAGTCCAACAAATATCAATCCTTCCTCCACAGTTTTCTCTCTCTGCCAAATATCTCTCTTCCTTCCTTTTTTTCTATGTGCGGTTCTCTCGTGATGACCAAAAAAAAAAAGCTACGATTTTATATTCCCCAAGCTAGAAAAAGAATATTTTCTACTTTGGTTCGATCGTCATTGATGATATTGTGGTCGTGTCGCGTTTCGAAAGTGGTTATAATCTTCTGTGTCTTACTCTACGAAGTTACGGTGTTCTTTCATATATAACCGTAGGATTATCACGTGGTGATGTCGTTTCTTTATTAGGGACCGTTTGATTTTTATAAGGATTTACCGGTATCTTTACGTGGCCGCCTCTTTATTCTTGCCTTCCACGATGTAACACTGATTTAAGTTTTTTTTTTCCCTTTTTTTCTTGACTTTTCTATGATAGTTATATCTTGATCATGATTCATGGGGATTTACCAAAACTGAAATTAAAATTACCGCAATTATTGTTGTTTACATGTTTATAAAATAAATGTAAATGTGATTTGTTGAAGCGTTAATTATGAAGATGCAACACGTAGGAATCGTAAATATCGGTGTTTCACGTTTTAAAAAGATTGCAAGATGCTCAAATCCAGCTCCTCGAATTTCTGTTGGATATATAGAGGGAAAGAAATTCAAGCTGTTTAGAAAAGAAAAGGAGAAAAGAAATTCAAGTTGTTTCCCTCCATAGAACTTTTAACTTGTTGTATAATGGTTGGGAATATGCGATTTTTGAATATTAATATAAAGGAGATTGTTTACTCTTGATCTTGTTATCAGATTTCATAGATTTAAAATTGAATTTTATATTTGTTTTATATACAACTACATATGTTCAATGTTTAAGTATAATCTTTGTTCCTGCAATCATATTTAAAATTAGTTTATTATATTCGATTACGAATCTTCCACCTAACTAACACAACTAGATTTACTTTCCAACTGTTTATCTAATTTTTTTTGTCCTACAACTACAATATTTTTAAACACGATCAAAATTATAAATCAGACTGCAAATACTTTACATACTGTGAGTTTGCACTTCATCCGTATATGATTGTTAAAAAACACTTATATTTTATTAGCATTAAGGAAACGATGAGAAAAATTTATAATCGCTAAATCTATATGGACCACCAACATATTAACGTGTAAAACAATACAAGAAGATCTCAAATCATTATACCTAACATTCGAGAAATCTCGAACATCACCGTTTGAAGTAAAATTTAAAGTTACAGTTTAAAAATAAAAGAAATATATAATTCTCACCAAGCATATACTAAAAGGGAAAAAAAAAGAAGAAAAAAAACGAAAATTGATAAATATGCTGGGATAATAAAAATGAATTGGCAGCTTTCAATAGCTATCTTGGCTTTGAAGCAACACAAAGAACCTATGCTTGTTGTTGTTGAGACTTTGTTCTCAAGAAACCTCCGAACAAAACAAAAGCTTTAAGCTTAAGCTTTCGATTTGTCCTGTTTTTTCTTTACTCATTTTATTTATTTTGTTTCTGAACTTGCGTTAGATGAATACCACAGCTTCTTCTGGCAAATCAAGAGCTTCTCATTCGCTGATTCAGACTCTGTTTGTTCCTTACGGCAACTCCATCTCAGTTCTTTAGCAACTGATGCAATCGTATCTGCGAAGTAGCTAGATTCGCGTATAATCGCATACCCGTTAGGACGCAAGATCCTATCCATTTCCAGCATTACATATTTCATATCACACCTGCTCAAAACCAGACCATTACATATCAGATACGATGAGTTTTCAAAGACCGAAGCAGTGAGATCTCTGTTCTATCCTTACCTTTGGCTTTCAGATGTAAACAACCCATCTACGTGGAGAAGATCGTAAGTTCTTGGATATGTCGAAAAAGCTTCACACCTATGAAACAACAAAGCACATTATGTAAGTGAACTCAAAGTGTTTGAAAGTAGAAAGAATTAGGTTTTGATGAATTTACCAGTCATGATATGTTCCAATCAATCCACGATCAAACACAACGGGAAGTGTATTCGCAGCGTAAGAAGAGACAACGTTCATAACCCACAAAGGATCATCGACCAGAGCAGCAGCCAAACCTCCATAAGCAGTGTTCATATCCATCACATTTCGAATCTTATCAGAGCCAATCGCGGGTAACAGCTTCTTGTAATGCTTAGCCCTTGTCTTCCATTTGCTATCATCGTGCTTAAACACGCCACCATTTCCTCCAGGAACATCAGAGATTCTTTCGGGAGTTGTGTGCAATCTCTCTGGCCACTTGGGAGTAGATTCCAAATCTGTCCTCTTAAGCTTAGGGCTTGGAACCACAACACAAGGGCGTAACGGTGTATACCAAGCAGAATCTGGCTCAAGGCTGTCGTCACATTTTGGCGGGTATGCATCAGGGTCGTTAGACAACTTGTTATAGCATAGATTGTCTGAAGATTTTTGCCACACTGCGATATCATCTTTCTTGGCATACATTTTGAAGCACATTGAAGATAACAATTCTTGCAGCTTCTCGTAGTTTGATCTCTGCTCTTCAATGGTTGTGTCCCAACCTTTCCAACGGTTCTCATAGTTGACTGGTGGACCAGACAAGACCCAGAAGCCACCAGGCCTTAGGATACGGTGAACCTCCAGAAGATAGACTCCACCTGAGAGAGCAGGAAAGAGACAAAGGTTGTTACAAGAGTTTCAGTAAAAAAGACTCACATTGTTCGATGATCAAGAAGATTCAAGATAGCAATTCAATTGATCAAAGACAGTTACATTACCGAATTCTGTCCACGGAATAAGGCATCTTGAGCAATGAGCCATATCAAATGAATTTGAAGGAAAAGGGAGACGTTGAGTGGAAATGATGCCGAGAATCGCAGGAATTCCACGTTCTAGAGCAAACTGGACTTGAGCTTCGTGATTATCTCTTGGGGCGAGTGATACCGTGAGGATACCGCGGTCCAACAAATCGCCTCCCCAGCTCGCAACCTTGAAAACAGAACAAGGTCAATGGAGTTGAAGATGGGAACATCTAATCCTATATTAGCCAAGTCAAATTCCAGAAATATATAAACTTACCCCACAACCAGTGTCAATGGCTGTGCGTATAGTCCCATCTTTCATTTCAGGGATCAAATCTTGCATCAAATCGACATATGCACTGACTCCATGTGGAAACATTGTACCTCCACCAGGAAAAATGAACTTTTCACCCTCTTTTCTTAGCCAGTTCTGGTTAGATTTCTGCTTGTTAATCCAATCATATGGCACATTCCTGAAACCAATTCACATTAAAATCACCAACTTACTTCAACTATCAGGAGAGATCTAGAGATACAAATAATTAAGAGATGCAATTATCAGGTTGAGGAAAAGGACAAACATATACCTGTACCAACATTCGTCTTTGCTCTTTGGCCATCTTATTGGTGGCTTATACCCATTAGGAGGAGGAACCAGACACTGCTTTCTATCAAACACAGGAGGACAATGTCTTTCCATGAAAGTAAGCCTGTGAGTACCATACTTCTTCCATTTCTGAACAAGCAAAACGAAGTCAAAACATTAGCTAAAGTTTTTCCAGATTCAAGCACTCACATCCTAAAAATCAGCAAATTGAATGTACCCTTGGATCAGTGCACGGAGTGTAATCCTGGTAGTCACTGCTACATTCCGAGAAAGAAACAGATTTGACTTGAAGAGAGTCATCAACATCTAAGGAAGAAGATTCAGCCTTTGCAACATCATTAACTTCAATTTTGTTCTTCCCACAATACAACCCACCAAGATAGAACGAAAGTCCACAAAGAAGAATCAGTAAGAGTGTCTTGGGCAAAACCCTTGAACCCTTCTCAGCTTTCTCGTACTTCTCATCTTTATACTTCATTGTTTCAACAGAATCCTTTTCTTAGAAGATTAACACCTGCAACCAATAAGTCAAAACATTAGATTGGATAAATAATAAAATACACATGACTAGACAAGAGCAACAAACAAGCTTCTGCCATTTACGAAAAAGTTAAGAAAGAGAACTTTTTTGGCTAATTCATTGAATAAACAAATGATGGGCCAAGTGTTTACTATTAGACAAATGAGATTTTGAAAGTTGAGGAAACAAAGGATGTAGAGAATCGAGATCTAAAAGGAACAAACAACATTGCCGACATTAAGAGATTGTTGCTTTAATGTATCATCTCACATGGTGTTTTGGGACCCAGATTCGACCGCTATAACATGCTCTCACATTGTCCATCAAAACTCGAGAACAATAAACAATGAATCAAATGAAATAATAAATGCGTACACATGAATGAATCTCTATTTAAAGTCTTATTCACTTTCGCATTTAAAGTCTGAAAAACAAATCTGTACCAAAAAAAAACTTGCAGAGACAGCTAAAAAGCATAAAGGACGAAAAAAAAGTGTAAGAGGAAGAGAATTAGCATTAATCATTACTTGGCAGAGACGGAAACGTTTTTAATCTTTAATTCCACCATACAAAACAAAAATGTTATCAAAAACAAATAAATTAACGATGAATCTGGAATTGTGCAGTACTCGAAGAATACACACAAAACGAAAAAATAGAAATGAATCTGGATTTCACAATCCAAATTCGAAAAACTACAAACTGAAGATTATTATCCACATTATTCAACAGGAGATTAAGCTATAATTTGTTCATAAGGAAGCAAATGTTATTAGAATCAGGGAGAAATGAAGAAGACGAAACAGAGCAAAATTACGAAATCCAGATCTGGTTTTCACCGGAATTCGTCGAACTTCATGAAGAAAAACAAAACACAAAACTCGATCTGTGCATATATAAATGATTTTAGAGACGAACAAACGTATCATTTACCCTTAAGCGTCCTCTAATTCTGGGTTTGAGAAGCGCGATTTCCGATTAGAATAGTCTCCTCGAATTCCTGAGAAGAAGATTTTCCGGTGACCGAGAGAGACTTTTTGAATTTTGATTTCTCTCACTAACGAATTTTTGAAGACGGATTGAGAAAAAATGGGCGAGAGATAAGGAGATTTGCAGAGAAGCTAACGTTAACATATATAGCTTCCTTCTGCAATTTGGGTGTGAGAACAAAAAATAACTAATTATTATTAATTTTTTCTTTTTATTTATTTTTTTCTCGTCCATCTTTTTCTTTCGTTCACTCTCTGTCTCTCCTTTCGTTTTCTATCTTTTATTTTTTTCACATAATTTCACTATTGTTTTTACTTAATTATTAATTGAATGTTGATGAAATAAATAACAAAATAATAGAGACTTGTTGTTTGTTAAATACAGTATTGATGGGAAATCGTTTTCTATACCAAGATATTTTCCAGTAGATATCACTGAATATCTAGCAATTATGAGAATTTGAATGATTTGGATCCACTAAAGAGGAGTGTTACTGAAAACAAATAAATTATGGAAATACGAAATACGAAATTCTATAATTTGGTAGATCCTCTCTAGGAAATTGTAACGATTATTAAAGATTGAAATTCCCGGAATTTTAGGTTTGTTTCCAAAAAGTAGCAAGTTGTTTTTCCTTTTACTAAAGTCACCAATCATTTTTTAGGATTCTAATTTAGATTTAAATAAGTAAAAAAAATAAAACAAAAAAAAAAGAGAGAAAATGGAACCCACCACCGACAAAACGATTCACCGTCGGCGTCACGACTTTCCTTATATCAATCGTCCCATGCAAAAACCCATTTAACTGGAAATCCCTATTTCATGGGAGTGATGATATATATTCCTTTTTTTTTTACATTTCATAATCGTATAATTACAGTGGTACAATGGTTATAAAGAAAAAAATTAGCAAAAAAAAAATTTGACCAAAAAAAATATATAGCAAAAATACGATTCAGTTCACAATCTTAACTAAATTATTTTCTCTTTTATATATATATATATATTCTCTTTCATCAAATTAGCTCTTTATGTTTTCCACTTCCTTTAGTAACACAACCATTTAAAAAAAGGATTGGATAATATCATAAAAATCGGAATAACGTTATTACAAAAAAAAGAAAAGACTATTTTAAATATTTGATTAACCACAATATATGAAAATAACACGAAAATATTAAAAGATTCGAAATTAAATTAAATTAGTTGAAGTAAGCCGAGTTTTTAGTCGGTGGGTTTGTCACTTGTGATAGATCCACGACAACACTGAATTATTAAGTGTTGACTAATCGAAACGCGTTTAAATTAATTCCTCCTCCGTATACTACTATTTACATATTCCAATATTGTCCTGTTAGTATTTATTTAATTTATTTATTTTTTTTAGTATTTATTTAATTTTTCGTCGTAAATAGTGTATCTGTCTATTATTTAATTTAATGTCTTTTTGTATATAAACGTTTTTTTTTATCAAAAACGTTTATGTTTTAAACCTTTACTTTAAGTAACTAAAGCTGGAAAATTTTGTCTAGTCAAAGTAAGAAACTAATTTCAACTAAACTATATAGGTGATTACTAAAACTTGATTTCTGATTAATCTACAATCCGAATCTAACTAAATTTTGGTAGCATACTTTTTTCTTAATGTGTTTGATCCTTTGACTAATAATTGCACTCACAAAGGTCATAAACGTCGGATCGCAGATGAAGGATCATAAGTCATAACGTAATTTGTAGTGTTGTGTGACTTAAGAACCAAATACTTTTGAATAAGTCTAAGTTGGAAAATGGAAACTCACCTTCCCCCATGTGGAATGTGTTAATGGTGCATCATCTTCCCATGTGTTATTTAGGTCTTTTTACACCAATATCACACTCTCTTTTTCTTTGTTAATTAAAGAATACTCAAAACCCATAGAAAGGTATGAAAAGTTGAAAAAGTAGCAACTTAATGAGTCAAATTAATTCAGTTTTTCGTGTGTTCGGCTGAATTACACCTGGGTTTTTTTGGAGGTTTGATGTCAATCATAATGGCAAGCAAGCAAGGCAATGAATTCCAACAATTTTTTTTGTGTTCATACATTTCAATAACATAACATTAAATCAACATCTAATGTTTATTGATTTATTTTCTTTATCTTTCAAAATGCTGCAGTGGACTTATATTTAGAGTTGAAATATTATTAGAGCATGGAATATTGAGATGGAAGATCGTTATACCAACAAAAGAAGTCATGAATGTGATGCTTAACATTCTACTTCTCCGTGGTTACCAATGGTAATCTAAATTTTGTCATGAGCTATCATTCTATCAAGCTACTAATTTAACTAAGAATAAATTTAAACTCTGTTCTCAATCCTATTGTTCACTAAAATAGACTAATACTTAACTCGTCACTTGATTCTAGCTAGAGGTGCAGAAAGAATTAAGTATTTCAAAGTTTGCACGGTCGAATCATTGATGCCAAATATTGTAGAAACAACTCTAAAGCTTATAGAGTAGTATTCCTTGGTTCTTTTGGTGAAGCTTTTGGATCATAAGAGTTCATAATCAAACACTTATGGTGCAAATGCTTCCCAATGTAGCAGTTTTTAGTAAGAAACTGTGTTTCTCTTTTGTTTCACTCTTCCCAACTTAACATTTGCAGAAAACACCATTATTCACAGAGAAACTTAAATAAGGTAATCACAAAACGAGTTTGATATTTGCAAAAACCAAAGAAGAGAACCTGATATGCTTAAATAGATAACCTAAATTGGCTTCAGAAAAGCCTGGCAATAGTTCATTCTACCAAAACCAAAAGTGTACCAAAAAAAGAGTGAGAGCACCAGATGATGATTGTGAATCTCAGTAGCTTCCAACATGTTGCCTAGGTAGTCCTCCTCCATAACTCCCCGACACGCCTCCGTAAGAGCCACCCATGTACTGCCCTTGCGGCTCAGTCGTAGCACTTGGACAGTTTGCAGAAACATGACCACTGTTTCCACAGACATTGCAGCTAGTAGTAGTAGCATCACCACCATGAGGCCTAGAGCCACTACTATAGTGATTCCCAGATTGACCCGATTGATGAGCATGTAAACCGAAATCCCTTCTTTGGACTGATGAGGGATCTCTGGTTCCTGAGCTTCCTGTACCAGTGTTAACTGCATCAGCGTTGTAATGGGATCCTTCTGGGTTAATGTTGATGGAAAGAGAACTTCCATCTCCAGTCTTGAGTTTATCTATGGCATCTAAAATAGTCCTTGTATCTGATGAATAGTTTAGCTTGTCCACTTTCACAACTGTTGCTTTCACACGCTGTTCGTCGCTGAATGTTTCTTCTTTTACCTTCAGCTTGAAGATGTACTTGGTAAAAGCAACCTTACGGATGATATCTTCGAATTTTTCCTCATCATTGTGTTCATACTTCACATAATACAAATCTTTAGCAGATATGCCCATTATCTCTTCACCAGCCTCCTGGAATACTGTGACCCAAGTAAGATCCGTATGGTCCTGTATCTGGAGCTGCAGTATATACCTGTAGTCACATTCATCGACGCTTTTATCACACTTTTCGCACCGCCATGTGCCATCTCCATTGGCTGTTACCTTTTTGCTGCATGGACGATCACCATTCATGATAGGACAAGCTGTGTAGCAGAAGTTTTCAAACTTCATGTATATAATTGTGGCACTGACTGTAATCCAGTCTGGTTTTTCTGAGGTCCCTAGTTTCTCATCCTTAATTTGAGAAATTGTTTTACGAACATCTACTCTGCCACTGCCGGAAAACTCCCGAGATAAGGAGATACAAGGGACACTCTTTCCTTCTCTCTCAAACCAGTCCTTCAGTTTGTGGGCTTCAACAAAATCTGGGTCAATGAACAGTTGACTTGATCCAATTGTGCTCACTGTCTTTCCGTTAAATTCACTGATCCTGCCCGCCTTAACAGCAAGAACCGGAAACCCACAAGAATCACAAAGATTTTGCAGCCTTTGTCCTTCTGCATTGCAGAAGTCACCCCACATAGTTACCTCGACACTTCGGCCTGACATATCCTTCAACTGAAGTGATCTTTTCGGTGTTGCAGTTCCGTTTTTCCTCGTAATTGTTACAGTAGGACTGATAGATGACACAATACCAATTACATCAATGATGCTGTTATTCTCCATGCCTTCAATATCACCTATGGTACGGAAATGGAACTGATGGCGCGGAATTGCAGCATCCTCCTCATAGCATTGTTTTATAGTTGATGCATTATCCAGCATGATCTCGTAATCATTGGGAAGATGATTAAAGTTCTTTTGAGCAGGCCGCAAACTTCCCCTCGAAATCAGATAAAGATTACCAACAACAATCTGGTCAAAGAATTGATCAGCCACAGCGTTAAAACAAGTAACCCGTATTTCTCCACCATCAGCATCGAGAAGATCAAAGTTGAACACTTTCCCCTCCCCACGGGGATTATTGTATTGCTTAAGTGCTGCCTTATTCGTGACTCTAGCCTTGATGGTCCACCTACCCGAGTACGGGCTAAGAGCATTAATTGGAATTATCCTAGGAGGTGCTTCGTTCCTTGCCACTGGTCCCCTGTTTGCATACATCGGTGGTGGTGGTTGAGGCTGACGAGGATAACTGGTTGGAGGATCACGAGCATGGTCCTGCCTAGGGACTCCATGACTTGCTGACGGATTGCTGTCTACCCGAGTGGAAGGCGTTGTTGATGCAGGAACACTAGAACCAGTACCAAACACTGGCCTTTGATCAACTTGAGGTGAAATAGCTGCATTACTTCTCCCTGTCTGGATATTGTTAACTTGACTGACACCACTACCCCGTTGCTCAGAACCAGTTGTATTTAACTTAACACCAGAATCTGCTCCACGTTGATCACTATGCTTTCCTCCTGGAACAGGATGCCCGATTATATCAGAATTCGGTTTTAACACCTCCAGTTGCAGAACAATAACAATCCTGGCATTAAAAAACAAAACTTTATGAATAATTTGAACTTGAGTTAATGTAGTATCTTACATAAAGCAACTACATTGGTTATCTAGTACGGAATTTCACCAGCAATGAATTTTAAACTCTTTCGAACACCTAAAAATAATTCTCCAAGTAAGATTGAATGATAAAAATATCCTAACTTCAAAATCTTGTTGACAGATAAAAATTACCTTCGAGTCTGGATGACATTACCGAAGAAATGAGTAAGTCTAACAATGGAACCGGATTGAAGAGTCCCTTGTTTGACAAGATCGTTGAGATCAGTTCCGAGCATACCTTGATGCAAGTGACTCCCATCTGATAAAACCATCCTAAACCTCTCTTTCGTTGGATCTTGATAAGCCTTAAGCTGCTTCAATTCCGTCACTTGCAGCACCGGCATCATATCTGCCTCAGTCGTCACTTCTCCACTCATTATCTTCCCGATTGCTCCCGCCGTCAAATTTACCTCCATCGTTACAGATTAAGAAAACCCAAGAAATTTGGATAATCAGTAGAAGCAATTCGAGAAGGAAAATGGTGAATTTTTATGAATGAATCTGAAATTGAGGAAAGATGGGAAGACGAAAACAGATTGGTTTGATTCTACAGAGATCAGAAGTTGAAGAAGATGAAGGATTTGAGATTAGCCCTAGAGTGAAAGGTGGAAACTTTACGATCCTTTTGAGAGGGAAACTAAAATAGAGGAAGGGTTTCAAGAATTTGGAAATCGCAATCGAGCCACGATTTGGTACTATTACGGATTTACCCTTCTGAAAATTCCCTTGCAAGCTTCGTTAATCGTGTAGATTGGTGACGTGGAATGTTTTCGAGAAGACTCGAGCACAGATACAGGCCCATTTAAAGGCCCAATATGACAAGTAAACGAACATATTACGTGGAACATGTGGCAAGTGTACTGCTGAGTCAGCAATCTCTCTCCATCACATTCACATTGATCAACCCTGTCCGAAAAATTATTTTTATGTTATTTTGTTTTAATTGCATTTACGCACTCACATCATCGTCGCAACGACAGTCAAAGACTCAACGAGGAAAAAAAAAAAGAAGGGGCAATTGGAAAAAAAAAAGAAGGATAATCGGAAATCGGTAAGATTTGATTTCCCGGTGACCGTCGTTGAGATCACCGTGAGAAATGGATTATTCGACTTCTTTGTTCTGAGTAGAACTCACTCACCGGAGGAGATAGTATGGATTCCGAAGAAACGACGTCGTCGGTGACGACGACAAAGAAGCAAAAGAGGGTTTTCTCTTCGTTAGCTTTGCGATTCTGTACAGTGATAGTCTTCTCGATCATTAGCTTTGTCGTCTTGTCGTTTCTATTAGGAATCTTAGTGATATTCATCGGTGAATTGTGGGTTTATTCTTTTTCTTCTTCTTCTGCTTCTCTTCATTCCCGCTGCAAAATTGTTTCCAGCTGTAAGTTTAAAGCTTTGATACTATTTGGTTAATCATCAATTGATTGCAGAAATTGATAGGTTTCTTGTGTTAAATGGTCTCACTTTCTAATGATCTCTGTCAGATTAGTCTTCGACCTGTAATTTCTAATGATTGGAATTGAAAGTCTTTCACAATGATTTTGGGGGTTTTGTTTCGTTTGATGAATCTTATGGTTTTACTTAATTTTGATGTAGCTGTTGATTTAAGGTCTTCTAAAGTATGTGGCATTGGACTATTGAACATCAAAGCACAACATGTGTTTCACCCTTTTGAGAGAGATAAATTCAGATGTCGTTATGATTACTATTGGGCTTCTGTCTTCAAGGTTGTGAGATATTTTGCAGCAATATCTGTCTTTTGCTTTTCAAAAGTTGAGAAATTTACTAATTCCATTGTATTTGTTTTCGTTTCGATGATCCCGTTCACAGGTAGAGTATAAAGATAACTTAATGGGTCAAACACGGTTAGCGTTTTCAGAAGCACCTAACGAAGCTCTTCCTCCTGAGTGCAGACCTAACTTTGGTGCTGCATTGCTTACTAAAGATAACTTCAAGGTAGGTTGTTTTGACCATATTGAATCTCTGGACTTGATATCAGTTTGTTTACTGTTCAGAAACGCGTTGTGTTTCGGATTACAATATGTTTTTGTTTGTCCAGGTGAATGAGACTTATGATTGCTGGTACACATTAGGGATTCCAAAGATAAAGCTTTATCGGGATAGCTTTTTCGGTTGCCAAGCAAATGATCTTTCTTTCACGGACATTGTTAAGCAATACTCTGTTGTGTAAGTTCTTATCTTTTCTCTCATTTTTATACATTTTTCATCATAACTAAACACATACACACTATGGGAGAATCATGATGAAAAATCATAATAGCCATGATAATTAGTAATAGCGTAACGATTACGGTGTTTGTTTTGTTGAAATCATTTACGAATGTTCTATCATCTGTTTAGTTTGTCAGTCTTGTCTTGTCTGGGCGCCATTATTCACCGAATTGATCCTCTTTCATTGGTTCTTTTTTCTCCAGAATCTCTAAACTTTTACAGTCATGGTTTAATGGAGAAGCAACACCAAAGTACTGGAAATATGATGTGATCGCTGGCACTGTCTCTGGCTTCGCAACTTCCATAACCACAGTCTTCATCGTACGGATCTTACGACATGCAAAATCTTGGTTCCCTCGAGCTTGTTGTTCAGTGAAGAGCCAGTTTTCTAAGGTGAATCTCTTGGTACAAGTGAAGCGTGCATGTTTGCTTCTTGTTTACTTCTCGGTTCTCGGATGGATGGCGACACAATACTTGAAAATTCTTTTTCCAAAGGCTTAGAAACCAAACATTATTTGAGAGAGAGTGAGTGAGTATGTAATGATTCGTAGACAGTTGTGTGACGTAATCTTAAATCATTTACAGAAAAAGAAAGCAATACAGAGAAACAGCTTTAAAGTCTGAGGATTGATTTAACAGCTAAAAACAATCTGTTTTACCAACTCTCATGGAAACTGATGAATTCTTCTACAAACTATTACGGATCTCAGAAACAAACAAAAGTTTTGGTGAAATCTGGCTTATCTCATATGATGGATCTTACAACTCTTGCTAAGTAGATACTTCTGATGGATTAGAAGAAGCTACATTGTTTGGTTCCTAGGTTTCATCTTCTTGATCAGCTTCTGTGTCATCAGTGTCCTGAAGATGAGAAAGAGCAACTTTTGGCTTTTTCGATACCGCAGAAGCTTCTTCTTTCTCACCCTCGTTTCCATCCTCGGATTCCTTTCTTTTTAGATCCTTGATATCTCCTTCATTGCTACAACTTGCTGGTTTCACTTCTTCTATCTTTTTCTCATTGTTCACCTTAGCTTTCCTTGCTTGCTCTTCACATTCTTCAAGAAAGTTTTGGGTTTCTGCATTACCCGCAACATCTGCTGGATTCTTCCCGGCCTTTGTAGTAGCTCTGACATTCGCTCCTTTCTTAACCAAGTACTTGACGATTTCAAAGTGAGAACCTTGAGCAGCATAGTGAAGAGGTGTGAGTCCCTTGCGAGTGATAGATTTCACAGAACCACCAGCAGATAATAGAGTTCTCACAACTTCCAAATGCCCCTTTTGGGAAGCAAAGTGAATCGCACCCATGTCATCTCCTGCTGAAGCACCAACATCAGCTTTGTTCTTGCATAAGTAGCTCACAACCTCATTGTGCCCTGCCCATGCTGCTAAGTGTAGTCTATTTCCCCAAGAGATCCTAATGTTAAGGACAAAGAAATGAACAACAAAAGACTTCAAAAAAGTAGATCAAATCTATAATCTATGAACCACATAGCCATTCTCCTAGTAACCAATCAAATGTGAAGTATCAAGATTTCAAGCCTAGAAAGACTGTTAAGTGTTAACATTGAGCAACGTTGTATAAGCCAATACTACAAAGAAAGGGCTATATACAAGTATAACAATTGAGAAAGCATTTCAACATGAAACCTAGGTTTTAAGAACCACGAATCTCGATAAGAACCCTAACTAAGGCCGTAGCAATGAACATTCAGGAAACATAAGCAAAATTTGTAGTAAAACAAAGAAAAACCATCGAGAGAATTCGATTTCATGATCAAGCAGAAGCTAAAATCGAAGAAGAGTGATTTTGAGAGAAGAAAGGATACGGAGTCCGAGAATGCTTATCCCTAGAATTAACAGTCAAAGGATTAGAGCTGATTATAGATTGAACTGCTGCTAAATCACCGGATCTCGCCGCGGAGTGAAGATCAGCCGATGATCCTCCTCCTCTTCCACCGCCTCTTCCACCGCCGGTTCCGCCTACCATTTTCGTCTTCTTCAGTGCTCCTTCTCCGTCTCTATTCAGCTCTTCGTGAATTCGTACCAGTGATTAATAGCGGTTCGGGTGATATCTAAACGGATCGGGTTTAATTGCAGAAATTTCGACCTTAAGCCCAAACTAAGCCCATCTTAGGCGAATCATGTCATTCTCAACGGACCGTTCCCGGTTTTAGATTTCGGTTCCATTAACTGGCTGACGATTTTATATGTCGGAGACGCTAACGTATGGTTTCTTACGAGTGATTGATTACAAGTTCAAAACAGGCCAAATGGTAAAAGCAAAAATAAATGAAAATTTTACTAAAAAGTGTGCCCATTTGTTTACTGCATAGTTCATAAGTTATCCACAAAACACATTATTTTCAAATAAAAAATGTGAAAAAATCATACAATTTATAACTTACAAATTACTACATGTAATTTATTATAGTTTTAGTTTGTCCTAGTATTTTTAATATATCACCTTGTAAATATAATAATGCATAATGCTTGTTGTTAGCATAATATATCACCTTGTAAATATAATAAACAATATTATAATTGTCTTTTAAAACCTCTATAGGCCAGTTATAAATAAGTCAAATATCACATTAGCATTGTCTTTTAGGATGTATTCATGAACGGTGGCAAACAACGAGAGTGCACTCGTGTATAATTTTCTTACATAATATATAAATTAATTAGTCATGTTTTATTATTATCATTACTTAATATTTTTAATTCCAATTGGTCTCGGACGATGCTTTTGAGTTTTTGACTGATCTGTTCGAATACAAACTTTGCCAGCAGTAAATATAACAAATGGATAATTAACTATTGTTATTATTTTATAAGGTCGAGTAATTTAATTTGTTGTACGTGTTATATTAAGTAACAACAACTCAAGGTGATTCATATATAGTAGAGTTTATAAATATACATTGACAATAACAAAAATATAATATCAGGAAATTGAAACTTCGTGAGTCATGCCTAATGTGAAATCAAAGATAAATTAGTCAATCATTTAATAAGAGTGCATGATGACATATAATTTTTTCTTGTAAACTAGTATAAAACAAATTTATCCGATGGTTTTATTCGTGACCAAGACGGTGTGAACAAATATATTTTGAATGAATAGCAGAAAAAGTAATAAAAATATGAGAATAATATAAAGAATATGAATTATCAATTTATCCATGGAATGTGATGCAATTCATGGGACAAAAAGATTAGGTAGGCCGAAGGATAAAGGGATGAGATTGCCAGCTTTGAATATATAAAAATAGGTCCAATCTTCATGGGAAGGTTCCTCAATCAATATTTATCGCTTTTTACACCATTCCAGAATCCAGATCAGACTATATAAAAACATAAAACATTTTGCCTTTCCAATATATACGATATTATACATCAAGCAACTTGCACATAATTGAAGTTATGCGTGCTGCGTAGTATGGTGATATCATATGATTGATCCATAATTTTAGTAATATATATTGGAAACATCTTGCTCTATGTGAATTTTTTTGACGATAATATATTTTGTGTGTTATTTTGATATTATCTTCTAAATTCTTGTTCATCAAATAATTGCATTCAGTGAGCAAAAAAACATATTATAGTTTTACATGTGATTTTGAAGGAAAAATCTTGGACTATTTTATCATCTAATCAAATAATAAACCACTATAGAATTTACACCCAAACTCATATACCCTATATTCTCATAGTTTTTTTACTGTTCTTTTTTTTAAAGAACCAATTTTTAGTCCATTTCAATTTAAAGAATATCTCTACGTTTCGAAAGAGGATTGAATCCGAGACACAAAACAATCAATCTTCTTCTTATACTAGTAGTAGGTCACCATTCCTTTAATATTAGTTGTTCAATTTTTTCAAAAACATTTTTATACCATCAATTTTTGAAAGCGGACTATACGTTACTTAACTATTGAAAAAAAAAAGTCTTTTAACGAACATAAACTTTACATATACAACATTCTACAAAAAAAACTAGTAAAAAGTTTAAAGAAACAACGCCCTTTTATTAAAAAAAAAAGGTTTAAAGAAACAATCATAATTATTCATAACTAGTCTGAAAATAATGATTATTTTTATATTTATATTTTGACCCAAAAATTATTTTATTTTTTACAGTTATCATTTATGCAGGCCTTTTATTATATAATATATACTGTAAATCTCAAATTCACAACCAGCCAATTCATCATCGTCATATACATACGTGTTATCCTTCCAATTATGGCCTTCTTTACATAATAAAAAAATATAAACGCCAATCAAAAGGTCAAGAACAAAACAAATAATTGACAAAAAAAAGATATATGGATAATGGAGCTTTGGATATTGTAGCCAATTCCATACGGATACGGAGCCCTACGTTTCCACATTAATATATTTTGGATATTAAAGCATTTCAAAAACTTACTGAAAATTGTCAATCAGCCATCGTCATGTGGGGTAGAATAAAACAAGCACTCCTTTCAAGTTGATACTTTGATTTAATCAAACGTCATGATCCCAATATTAATCTTCCATAATAACGTAATTAAGTCAATATAGTTTACAATTTAAATTCTTGGGCATAAATCTAATCTTCAAATTATGTTGATAATCCCCGCTCGCTTCATGCAGAATTTTTAATCACTATTTTATACTATGAAGTAACTTTAGTGGTTTGAAGTTTTATTTATTTTTCTAGTTAACAAAAGAATAAAAAATATTTTTCTTCTTTATTTTTAATCCTGTACTCTACGTTGTAATAAAACTAATAATGTATGAATTATGACTAGATTGCCTTGATAAAAAGGTACGTAAAACTATAAAAGCACAAGATTTTCTCTTCTCCCACCTAACTTTTGGATTTTTCTGTTGTTTTTCCACAAGGAAAACCTATTTTTCTTAGTTTAATACTTTAATGGATGATTAATTGTTTTCTTTTGCCAAACAAATATATCACAATGGGCAACCATGATAAATATAACTGAAAATAAAAAAAATATCTCTATATATACATCATGTATTTGTAAATAATTACGATTATATGGATTTGGTTAAGAGAACATTTATTCAAAACGTAAAATAATTATTGATGAATCATATGTGTAATGTGTATTATTCACGTGGTTTGTTCGTCTGGTCACTTAGTTACGTGAAATTCATATTATATGCATACTTGTTGGAATTCGATACGTACTATTTTTAAGCATATATATAGATGCCATTATTCAATACCAATGATGATTGTGCCGTGTTCCTACCAATCGTTGTGGATGAGGATATTTATCATCCACTTACGAGTTACGAGTAAATTAAAAAGAAGCAAAAAACTCTTATTGGTTTATCTTAAACCGTTTCATGTAATTTTCATAAGATTCGCCCATCAGAATCGAATCTCATTAAATCAAACCACTTTAAAAATATAAAAATTAAGTAGACAAACTAAACATAGCACTCGTAAAATATAATTAAGACAAGGAGCAACATTATCCAGTGTTCTTTTATTATATGGGATTTGCGGGAATATATGCTTATGTTCTGGAAAAAGAAATATAATGGAGAAATTAAATTGTATAAAATCAAGAACAGCTCTAAAATCAATGTATCAAATTCAGATCCACATGAAAGTTATCGACATAATCAAAATTATCTTTCAATTAAATATCTTGTAGGTTTGGCAGAAAAGGAGGAAAGTTTATTATGTAGGTTCAACTTTTGAGGAATCTAAGAAATATACCGGACCCAACTTAAGATAATAATTGTTTCAAAATAAGACAAAAATAAGTGAGGTGTAATACCAGAAAAATAAAACCAATTGTACATAGGATTTTAATAGTAACAATGAATCTTGCCAAAAAAAAATGTTAGTATTTTATTAATAGATGGAAGAAGTATTTTATTTAAAAATGATTTTCAAATTAATATTGATGATATATAAAAATTTTGGCTACTCTGAATTTCACAACGTGAGTACTGAAAAAGAGGTGTTAAAAATGAAAATGTCTAAATGAAAGTTATTGAAGTTTTAGATGTATCTACTATGAGAGGGTTGTTGTTTCATGCATATGATAAGTGTTCTGGTGATTCTCGCTTTATTTTTGCAAAATTTTCGTTTGTTTGTAAATAATCACTAAATTGTTGTTTTCATTTATTTTTTGTTTGGCGTCTGACAAAAATAATTTACTGTAACTTTAAGATACATAAACATGAATAAAGAAAAATTTTAGTATGCAAATACGGTTAGATATTTTCTAAGTGACGTAATAAGTAAACAGATTTTCATATCATGATCACTTGTAATGAAAAATATTGTGGTAAAACAAGTAAAAAATATATGTTGCTTTCCAAAAATATCTTAACACAAAAAGGAGGCAAAAATAATCTTTAAGGAAAAAAATCATTTTATAGGAATTTCTGGAATAGAATTAAAAAAGAAAAATAAAAAAGGCCATTTTTCATTTTTTCAGTTTATTAAATTGTTTAACTCTGCAACAAGTGTCGTCATCAGTCGTTTTAAAACCCCCTTGTTTCTTCCTTTTACCAAATCCGCCATTGAAGAAGAGAGAGACGAAGAGAGAAGAGAACTACTCAGATATAAAAACCCTAGATTTCTTCTCTAAAACCCACATCGAATCTCAACTCAGAGCCAACAATGCTCCAACCTTTCTCGAGAACTTTCTTGGTTTAGGAATCCTTGTTGAATCAGAGAGAAAGCATCCATTTTTTCATCATTGCTTGCTTGCTATGGAATTGGGTAAATCTCGATTCTATTTATGCAATTGCTTTTCTCCTGTTAGGTTTTCCGATTATTCTTTAGCTGGAAGTGATTATCCAGACGCCATATCCATGAATTTGATTCCCAAACCTTCTTCTTCTATTGTTTCTTCTTGTATCATCATCTCTGAAGATTCTTCGTATCTTTCGATTCGATGCTTATAAACTTCAATCTCTCTTCCAAATCTTGAACCGATTTTCTTCCAAAAATCTCTCTTTCCTCTCTCTCTCTCCCAATCACTCAAACAATGTTGTGTGCATCATCTTCGTTTGCTCTTTTGGGTCCTGCTTCTTCAGCTATGGCTTCTTCATCAGTTTCCAGATTTGTTGGATTTGGTCATCATACTACTCTCAGGTGCTTTACTTATTCTCTTCACTTATGCTTTAGAATTTGTATTGAAACATGTTTAGAAATTGGGATTTTATTAAGGTTTATGTTCTTTAACGATCATCAGGTATGATCTTGATCAACGTCGTCGTCGTTGTTCTTGGACTGGAATTGAAAAGAAGATCCCTTTTCCTGGGAATAGGACTGCCTCAGCTTCTGCTTACCCTCTCTTTCTCAGTCAGCTTACTAAAGACTCACCAAGACCCAAAAATTACCAAGAGGTTCACATATGATTCTTCCTTGGATCTTGAATCCTGAATCGGCAATAAGATATAATGATTGTTTATTTTGGTTTTCATAAGGTTTTCTCATGTTATTGTTTCTTGATTTACTATGTTTTCAGGTCACTAAGTCAGCCCGGCAAATGTTTGCTCGAGAGATCTCTATTCAATCGAAAGACAGTGAAATTTCGATTGCAAAGGTATATAAGAAATTTCTCTTGTTAAGGTATAATCTCTGACTCTTGGTGACTTGCTTGAGACCATTATTGAACATGATATGACTATGGGTTTGTTTGACCTTCTTAGAGAGTTTTCTATTATTAGGTCTGATGCTTTTTTGGTGAAAACACGTTTGGTGAAGGTTCTATTATGTCATATCTTTGAAGCTTTTGCTTATTTATTTATGGAAATGGACTCACAGGTTCTCTTCTACATTGCTGCTGAAGATGAAGCCTTCTTGGCTATAAACCGAGAGAGGGATGCTCAGTCACTCATGAAGGAGAGGGAAAGTGTACAAGATCAATCTGATCCGAGTGAGACAGATTCTGAGGAGCTATTGCAGTTAGATGGAAAGAGTATATCTGAGTGGTTGAGTGAAATAGATGCAATTTCCAAAGAAGTAGAGGCAGAATTAGTCTCACGAGATATCGGCTGCCACTTGGTTCAAGTTCTTGAAGCTGTAAATACAGTTCTCTTCGATCTGAGAGGCTTCAAGAGGACATCTATTACTTTAGACCCGGAGAATTCCTACCTTCACTCTGTACTTAACTGTAGATGCAGCACTGGTAAAACTTTCCTCTTTATTAGGCTTGCTCAAAATAAGTTTCCTCTTTTTCTCATTTGTTGTCCCTAATCTTTAATGGATTTTGTTTTCTTCAATGTGCAGCATTTCTGATTAGCGTAATATACATTGAAGTTTGTATGCGCCTCAGTGTACCAATTGTTGGATCTCCAGTTGGGGAAGATTTTCTGATTTGGCCTAAAACGGAGTATCCTGAGGAACTCTTTAAAGCAACTTCAGGACAGAGCTTGTTCTCTATTGTCAATGGAAGGTGCGTTGATGATCCTGGATCAATGGCATCAGACTTAACTGCAAAATCACTTCAAGACCTCGACATCGCAACAAACAGAGACATTATAGGGATTGCTCTTGCCAATTTGATTGTAAGTCCTTATCACTTATAACTAAACTAAAATTATTTCACTCCAGAAGATTTCATATTGAAAGAATCTATATATTGTGTCTTTTGATCATTTACAGAGGCTTCACTGGAGACGTGCTTCGAAGTCATCCCCTGGACTAATGCTGACTTCTCCTCTTAGTCAACTTAATAACATCAGTAGTTCTAATTTCCCATTGTTGCGGCCTCAAGATCTTAGGTAAAACTATTTTAAAAACAAAGATTTTGCAAACCCTTTAATTTTCTCTGCCTCACATTCGGTTTCTGCTGATCGAAGGTTGGCTATTGCGGCTGCAGAAAGATTGTTGATTTTGCAACCTCATAACTGGGCACTTCGCAGAGACCTTGGTATGATGCTGTACTACGACAGGTATAGTTAACTTAGATTTAAATCCTTACATTTTGTTGCTTGTCCCGGTTCTGTGAGTATTGGTCGGTTTAGTTTGATCAAATATAAGATCTTGAATTGTTGAGATATGGTTTATTGTGGAGCAGGCAATATGGAGAGGCGGTACAAGAGCTGAGCATATGTATGGCCTTTGCTCCTCCTGAAGAAGAAGCTGTGTTGGAGCCATTTGTAGAGAGACTTCATCTACTTCGTCTCATATCTTCATTGAAGCCTCTTGGCTCTGATCGCTTGACCGTTCCTTGACGTCTCTCTCTCACTCTCTCTACTCCACTTGTAAATTCACTCTCTTTCTTTCTCGGTGTCTCTGTTGTGTTTGAAGAACCTTTGTAGTAGGAGACTTGGAGCTTTGTTGTTTGTTGTAGTAACTCTACTGTTGTTTTCTGATCAGATCTAATGGATTTGGGCCTCCAGCTAAATTTTGACTTTCCCGTGAATCCATATTTCAATGTTTTATCCGTTTGGGCCTCAACAGCTAAGCTTATATAAGACGAGCCGATTCGATCATGGTTTTAGTGGCAAGTTAAGAACCAAGTAAACCGAATGAGATTTGGATTTTTGGAAATGATTTTTTCGGTTTTACTTTGGTTCAAACCGAAAAAAGTAAGCCCGGGGCACATTCAATTATCCAAACACGATAATCTTGCTGAATTCTACTCTTAACTTCTGTTCTGTCTGTTTAAAGAAGATTGGTCCCTACCAAAAAAAGGAAAAAAATTAGCTAAGAGGATTGGTTGGGACTTTAAAGCTAAAGAAAGAAAAAAGAACTACAGTTTTAAATTTTTAATCAATCAGACTTAAATCACATAAAAATTAATTTCAATAGATAAGCTAGTATTAGTTTAGTTTGAAAAATAAAAGTAATAGAGAGTAAAAAAAAAAATAAAAGTAATAGAGAGTTCGATATTATCTAGAAGATCACAACGCGCGTAGGAATAAAGGAAAAACGACTTGTGTCCCCCTAGAAAGTTTCACATAGTATCACAACTACACAGAATTCGGATCTCGACTGCAGTCCACACATATCAGAAGTTAAACTCCAGTTTCCCCCCAAATCAAAAGTTCGAGACCTTGGTCCCCAAAATTTTGAATTTCGTGGTTTATCTTTGGTTTACTGTACCGAAACCACCATTAACCGCGTAACAACGAAAATAAACCGGATTTACCCATTAACCAAAGATATCTTTGGTTTATCTTTGGTTTACTCGGAATCGCTCGAGAACGACGGTTTCGTCTATCTAATCGTGACACTGAAGAGAATCCCCCAGTTGGATCGGACTAACCCTTTGATGATCCCTCTTCCTCATCCTCTCATCGATCTGGCCGCCGAAGATTCACCGGAGCTTTGTTTGATTATCGACGACAAACACAAGAACAAAATCACAAAGGAAGCGGCTTTGAAGAAGATCGAAGCAGAGAAGATTCCAATCACCACAGTGATTAAGGTCTCCAAATTGAAATCCGATTTACGCAAGTTAGAGGAGGAGAAGCGATTCGAGTTGTATTTCGCGGAGAGGAGGCTAATGCCGATTTTGCCGAAGCTATTGGGGAGAGAGTTTGTTAAGAAGAAGAAGAATCCGATTGCGATTAACTTAAGACACGGTGATTGGAAAGAGCAGATCGAAAAGCTTGTGAATCGGCTTTGTTCTTCGTTGGTACAGATACTTGCAGTGTTGTTAAAGTAGCGAAGTTGTCAATGGGAAGGAAGGAGATTGCAGAGAATGTTGTAGCGGCCATGAATGGGATTGGTGAATCAGTTCCTGGTAAATGGAAGAATGTTAAATTGTTTCATCTCAAGTTGCTTGAGAGCTTGGCATTGCCTGTTTATCAATCAGTTGCTTGATCAAAATGTTTAAAGAAGGTGATGGATGATCTGGTTCCTCCAATTAGTCACAAGTTTTGGGTTTTATTTTTAGTGGAATTTTCTTTTATGTGATGCCGGTAATGTTTCGATTATACCTAGAGTGATTAAAACTGTTTTGAATGATTACATTGCAACAGATGGTTTTAATACAAATTTCCATGAGTGGGTCTTATGAATTTACTGGTAACTTTGGCTTCTTTTGATATGAATATATATAGCCACATGAATTCTCTAATCATCTTCATCATTGTCACTGTCCGGATACTCGTCGTAAATCCGGATTGGTTTGGGGGTTTTGATTATCGGGTAATAATCGGGTTGGTTTATGGGTAAATCCGGTTTATTTTCGTTGTTACGCGGTTAATGGTGGTTTCGGTACAGTAAACCAAAGATAAACCACGAAATTCAAAATTTTGGGGACCAAGGTCTCGAACTTTTGATTTCGGGGGAAACTGGAGTTTAACTTCTGATCTGTGTGGACTGCGGTCGAGATCCGAATTCTGTGTAGTTGTGATACTATGTGAAACTTTCTAGGGGGACACAGGTCGTTTTCCCAGGAATAAACACATAAATATGTGAACTGTGCATGCATAACCCCAAAGAGTGGCAATTTCAATTTCCAAATATGCAACACTTGTACCATTACATGTCATTCTCTCTTTCATATTTTTGATGATTATCCACTTTCATAAGTTTTTCGAAATTAATATGTAGTCAATAATAGTAATCATATATATACAAAAAACAAAAATTTCCCCGACCAAAGTGACGAAAAAAAACGACTAAATGTTTTATTCCTCCTTTAATATAACGCGACATTATAGTTTGGTATTAGTAGTTTTGTATCCTTCTCACAATCACAATTCTTGGTGTAAGAAACATAATTCTTTCTATCTAACATGTTGTAGTTTCCACATTTGTGGGTGCTGAAATTCCGACCAATGTCACTCGTGGCCTCGTATGCCTAATCGAGCTTACTTTTTCATCAAGTACGTACAGACCAAGATTCCCATTTCACGTTCTCTTTTTTTTTTTTGATAAATACATTTTTGTTGTTATCGCTAAATCATTGTAGTAGCTAGAATGCCCCATACACGGTTCTTGAAAATGATTCAAATGTTTTTACCAAAGAAAGAAATGTAAGAAACATAAAATTTAACAAAATTAATGAATATCTTAACTAATACTTTGACACACACAAAAAAACTGATACATATTTGACAAACAAACTACAAAATGTAGGTGAACCAAAAAAAACTATCAAATTTAATAAAATTCTAATATTACTAATGGCTATCATGTTTATCCTAGTTTTTTTTTTCTTTTTTTTTTGTGTGTATGTCAACAACTCTCTATAATACTGAAGTGGCTTAAAGAAACATTGTTCACAAACGAGACAATATATACAAATTCACTATATTTTGATGAAACTATCTTTAAAAACTTACAAATAATATACAAATTCAAAATATTTTGATGAAACTATCAGATATTAATTTTGTCAAAGTTGATGAATTGTTTTGCAGCACATAAAATACAAGATAATTCCTCTGATATTTAGGAAAATAATATCATCGTATGTGAAAATAACAAAACAGACAAACCAATATTTGTAGAATATTAGAACTTCACATAAACTACCAACGAACCAAAGGATAATAATACTAGTAGCTTCACATCAAAAATATAAAAATCTAAGTTTCACAAAGAAACAATTATCAATTTTTGAATTTCATAATTTAATAAATAGCCCCACACACACACTCATCTTCCTTCACAGCCTTAAACGTGGAGGCAAAGAAAGAAAAAACAAAAGCAGAGCAATGGACTCTGTTTCTTCTTCTTCCTTCATCTCCTCCACATTCTCTCTTCACCACTCTCTTCTTCGCCGCCGATCTCCCTCTTCTAATCTCCTCCGTATCAACTCCGCCGTCGTGGAAGAACGTTCTTCAGTCACAAATCCAAGCGACAACAATGACCGTCGTAGCAAACCTAAAAACCTCCACAACCGAACCAATCACACCGCAGTCTCATCTCCGGCGAAACCCCGGCCAGAAATGACTCTCGCAACAGCTCTCTTCACCACCGTCGAAGATGTAATCAACACGTTCATCGATCCACCGTCACGTCCTTCCGTCGATCCAAAACACGTTCTCTCCGATAACTTCGCTCCTGTTCTCGACGAGCTTCCTCCAACAGACTGTGAAATCATCCACGGTTCTCTTCCGCCGTCACTTAACGGTGCTTACATCCGTAACGGTCCAAATCCACAGTTTCTCCCTCGAGGTCCTTACCATCTCTTTGACGGCGACGGTATGCTTCACGCGATTCGTATCCACAATGGTAAAGCCACTCTATGTAGCAGATACGTCAAGACTTATAAGTACAACGTCGAGAAACAAACCGGAGCTCCGGTTATGCCTAACGTGTTTTCCGGATTTAACGGTGTAACGGCGTCTGTAGCTCGTGGAGCTTTAACAGCGGTTCGCGTTTTAACCGGACAGTATAATCCGGTTAACGGCATTGGTTTAGCGAATACGAGTCTAGCTTACTTCTGTAACCGTCTCTTCGCTTTAGGTGAATCTGATTTACCCTACGCCGTCCGATTAACTGATAACGGAGATATTGAAACGATCGGACGGTACGATTTCGACGGGAAATTAGCGATGAGTATGACAGCTCATCCTAAAACCGATCCAATAACCGGAGAGACTTTCGCTTTCCGGTACGGTCCGGTTCCACCGTTTTTAACGTTTTTCCGGTTTGATTCCACCGGGAAAAAACAAAGAGACGTTCCGATATTCTCGATGACGTCTCCGTCGTTTCTCCACGACTTCGCGATCACGAAACGTCACGCGATTTTCGCAGAGATTCAGATTGGGATGAGGATGAATCCGATGGATTTGATGTTTGAAGGTGGTTCTCCGGTTGGTACTGATAACGGAAAAACACCGAGGCTTGGAGTGATTCCAAAGTACGCCGGAGATGAATCGGAGATGAAATGGTTCGAAGTTCCTGGGTTTAATATCATTCACGCCATTAATGCTTGGGATGAAGACGATGGAAACTCCGTCGTTTTGATCGCTCCGAATATTATGTCGATTGAACATACTTTAGAGAGGATGGATTTGGTTCACGCTTTGGTGGAGAAGGTGAAGATCGATCTCGTCACCGGAATTGTGACACGTCATCCGATTTCAGCGAGGAATCTCGATTTCGCTGTGATTAATCCGGCGTTTCTCGGGAGACAGAGCAGGTACGTTTACGCCGGGATTGGAGATCCGATGCCGAAAATCTCCGGAGTGGCGAAGCTCGATGTGTCTAAAGGCGATCGGGATGATTGTACGGTGGCGCGTAGAATGTACGGTAAAGGTTGTTACGGTGGTGAACCGTTTTTCGTAGCAAAGGATCCTGGGAATCCGGAGGCGGAGGAGGATGATGGTTACGTGGTGACGTATGTTCATGATGAAGTGACTGGAGAATCGAAGTTTCTGGTGATGGACGCAAAATCGCCGGAGCTTGAAATCGTCGCCGCCGTGAGGTTACCGCGAAGGGTTCCGTACGGATTCCATGGGTTATTTGTGAAGGAGAGTGACCTCAATAAGCTTTAACTATAGGTAACTGCAATAGTTAGTGGAATAATTAAGTTCTTAATTACGTTCCGTACAACAAAACAAAACGCATAGTGTTGTTGCATTTATACATTAAAGTCTACTTTAGTTTGGTGGTGGTCGATGTATATAAAACATACCAAAGCTTATAAATATTATAATTTCTTTCAAATATTCTGCTTCTGTTTTTGGCTACAAATCTTATAAATATTCATTCTATATCGAATTTCATTCCGAGAGTTATCAGATCTTATAAAATCTAACAACTATATTTTTTTATTTCATATTATCTTTAAAAGAACAAAACTGGAATATGTATATTGTATTGAAAATACAAATATGAAAAATCTAGGTTTTAATTACTCGAATATGACAATGTGGCATGTACCAATATTGTTTCTTAAGCATAAAAACTGAAGACAATGTTCGTGATATAACAAAATTATGAAACACCTATCAGTCGAAATATGAAAGATCAGTTAATGGATAAAGAAAATTAATGCACAAAAAAGGATTTGTGGTTTAGATAAATAAATTAGGAACGTGAAAAAGATTGTGTTTTAGTGATGGGACCAACGAGACATCATTATTTTGAGCAAAACATGAGGTATGGATATGGATATGGCCCAACGTCATTTATAGCAAATACAACGACCTTTAAAAATAACCTCTTAAAACAAGTAGTAGTAGTTATGCAAACCTTGAAATTATCGTGAATGATTTTGTTGGGTGTAGTGGAATCAAAGCAAACGAGTGGCCAAAGCAATAAACGAACGAGAGTGACCGATACGGAAAGTGACACTGACATAGATGTAGATTTATCCTTTCGTTTTGAGACCAAAGGATACAATTATTTACATTTATTTAAAGAAATGTCTCTCCAAATTTTGTGATCAAGTTTCACGTGATGGTTGAGAGTCTTGAGACTTATGAAAAAAACAATATTTGACATTTATGGCAATGAAAACTATTGAGACAGACTTGTTTCGTCACATAATTTGAATCGATCAGACCAAATGTTTTACTAGGTAATCGAGTCTTAAGAACCAATTACCTAACCTCTAGATCTATTTTCGCTAGACCAGTTAGGCAAAAAAAAAGTTTAACGATGCGACTAAAAACAAGAAGCAATCTGTACAACTTGACCAAACCTATTGAAATAGAGATCATTAGGATAAACATTTTCATTAGGTAATCAGATTTTCTGAACTGAACCCATTACCACAAGTTAAACATTATTGTGAATGATTTTCTAAGCATTCGACCAATATACAAAAATCTAAACCATATATTTGAAATATAATCCATGGGAAGGAAGATAAAGTCATTGTTCAGGTGATAGTTACTATGATTGCTCTGTTTATCTAAATGCCAACCACACACAATGGTCCCCAACGGATTTGAGCTCTACAATCTAACATAAGGCCATTGTTGATATTAGATAATTTCCAATTTCCATGGTAAATGAAAATGACACTTTTAGCTTCGAATCTTGCAATGAAATGAAGTCCAAACACATATAGATTCTACTTTTAGTCTTCCTTTAGATATAATGATAAGAATTAAGAAGCAAGGAGCAGAAAATGAGCACGTACAGGGTTTATTATCAATCTGGGAGTCGATTCTTCTCTTTGTAGCTGCTCAAAAACCCAAGAAACTTTGGACCGGCTCTGTAACAAGAAAGAATTTGGAGAAATACAAGAAGGGTAAAGAGGAAGAGAGTGATAGATAGTTGAACTGAGGTTAAATTAGTAATCATATATAAGTATATGGTATAAAAAGAATTACATGTCAACTGAAACAAGGAAATTTTTGCTCATGAAATTTCCCCCTTTTTTTTTTATACTATGATTCTCATGACCAAAAAAAAAGAGAAAAATTAGGAGGGTGTGGAAGTGACAAAAGCCGTACCAAAAAATTCTTCTCCTACATCTTGAGCATGTGTGAATCAGCGAGTGACGAACTAAGATCTTCTCGAGATTGCGATCTCCGGCTTTGGAGACGCATTTGACTCCTGCGAGGGGAGGACCAGAAGGAACTAGTGCTGTCATATTGCATATCCCCTAAGCTATCAGAAGAACAACTATGCATAACGCAGCTGCTCGATGAGTACAATGAAGAAGATTCCATGAGCTGTATGCTGCTTCCAAAACTAAATGGCCTACGCGGTGATCCCCGAACTGTTGGACTCAATGGTGTCTTTACCCCTGAAAGAAAAAGAAAAAAAAAACTATTAAGAATATATATCTTCCCAAAAAAAAAGACACAAGATAGACAATGTTAACAACTGAGAATAAAGACAATGTGAAGAACTGGCCATAACTCAAGATTATGCATAGTGAGTTACCTGTACTCATAGGACTCCATCGCTGGAATCTGAAGGGAGACGGGATGTTAAGAACAGACGAAGCTGAGGCGCTATTGTGTCTAAAAAGTGGGAGATAGGACTTTCTAAAGAATCTTGGCAAACAATTGCTGACGCGTGATAGTGCACAGAGAAGCAGAAGCAATGAGAAGAGCAAGATAGATATAAGGGCAATTGGGTTTATTTTCATGCTCAGAGTCTCATAGCTCTTTAGTCCCAATGTAGAAGATAAAGCCTTCCCTGCTTCCAAAAGAGCTACTCCAAGTGTCCAAGTTATACTCCCAGACCCAATTATGATTTGCTTATCTGTAATATATAAACCTTCTCGTAACAGGGAGACTATGTATGGCGCTCTAAAGCAGTACTGTTCAATGAAGGGTTGTGGAGAAACACTGGTTCTGGCTACTTGCCAAGCCTTTTCACAAAATTCCCTGCCCTTTTCCAAGACATCATCAAGGGAAGCTTCAGCACTTAAGTTAAAAAAACGGTACACCACGAAGAATCCGGATACAGCATAGAACTGACCATGAGGACGAGGGTAACCATCAGGAAGAGCACAAGGCTGCAAATCACAATCAACTCCATGTTTTGTGTTTGACCATTCAGAGCTATTTACAGCATTTTTTGCCAGTGCGCTGCACTCTCCCCAGTTTGGAGCACCAACGAGCTTGATAGGAACTCCTGGCTTCCCTTTTTTACCTCCATGGATACTGGAAGCACATTGAGAACATATGTACTGTCCATTGTATCCCGAATTTAAGCAAGGATGTTTCATTTCCAATTTTCCTTCAATCAAATCAGATTTAGTGACATTTGGTAGCCTCTTTAAAAGATGAACAACAGACCTTTCAAACGCATCATTAAGACCATATCCGGCAAGAGAATATGCACTAAGATGATGGTTAACAGACCCAATTCTGAGATTTAGGTTGGTCTCATTATGCGTCCGCTCCTCATTCTCAAAGGTTACCTGCAATGATGAGCCACCTAAGTCAAGTGCACCAAATGTTGCCTTCTTTGGTAGGGCTCCTAACATGCTTGTTTGGTAGTTAAGGGCGGTCCATCCAAAATAAGCTTCCTCTGTACCACTGATGATCTTAACCCACTCCCTCCGGCAAGTGAAGGGCGACTTCGCTAGTATAGACCACACATTACCTAAAATCCAGCTTGAATCAGAAGGACGAAGCCTCCGGACACCCGCTGTTGCATAAACAAAGAGAGACGTGGTTCTATGAGCATGCTTCGGGATTTGCTTTTCTGCCCACTGAATGAGGGGTTTTATCGCAGTTTTCAGGCCTGTTCTGTTGTTGACAAGCTTATCAAACCCAGGTTCTGTCTCCATCCTATCATAAGCACGACCCTTACTCTTTCTAGAAATACCTTCTGTCAAAGATTTCATAACAATGGGGAGACTACTTTCTTTCTTGTAGTTTATAGAAGCCTGATAAACATATGCACGAGTCCCAGTACTTCCACAGTCAAACACAACATAATATCTTGACGCTCCCCGTGACCAGTTTGTATAAATATACATGGAGACTATAAACACCAGAAAAGCAAACAAAAACAGGCACAAAACAATCATAACCGCGCGGATCCATTTACGGCGTGTAGATGGATTGGTCCCATTCGGGACACTCCCCTTTTCCTTGGAAAAACTTGATCCATTTAGTCCCCATGATATAGTTTGCCGTTTAGCGCTTAAATCAGCTTCCTGAGCAAGAATGGATTCTTCAGGATCAAACCCATGATATGAAGAAAAATCTTGGAGAGACGCTGAATGTTTCAAACTATTCTTTCGTCCACCATTCCCAATACTGTTGGAATCCGCCGCTGAAGTTCCTACATCCGATGATGATCCAGTAGGCATATACGGAACAGATGATTGCGAACCCGCTGAAAATCGACTCGATGCAGCAGTAAAAAGTTCAGTAATCCTACCAAAAACCATGTCTCTTGCCTACATATACCTCAAACTGCTTTACTTAGAAAGGAACTAACAAACTCAACCCAACCTTCTCCGTTGTCTTTAGCATCAAATGCAGAAGAAGCACAACAATCTCTTCAGATTCTTCATTCTTCTGCAGAAAATGTCAGCTACACAAATCAAATCAAATGCATTCGACACGAAAATAAACAATCAATATTTGAGTGATTTACAAATCACTAAACACAATCACAACAGCGATCTGTAGTTAAATCGACATTGCGATAACAACACAACGACTCAATCATAAAATTGAAAAGCTAGGGTACAATACCAGAAACACGCATTGGTATAGAATGAAGAACAAACTTCAACCACCGTCAAAGCTTCCTCAGCACTTAGATCTCGTATCTCGCTCTGCGTCTAAGAAGCATATACGCACATGATATATCAACGAATCGTCTTCTTCGTATAAGAAAAATCGAGAATCTCAAGCAGATCTGATGAGTATCGGGGCTAAAACCACACGACTCAGACCAGAGGAAGACGAAGACGTTGGAGAGATCCGTTTTGTGAAGAAAAGACCTCTTTGCCTTTTTGTCCTCTGATTTCTTTTTCTCTCTTCTAACAGAAAACGTCTTGCTCGATTTTCAATTTCTTGGGGGAAATTTGGAATATTTGAAAACGTTTGGGGCTGAAACGTAAATGAAATAAGCTTTTTTCTTTCTTAATAATCTAAAAAATTCGTCTATTTGTTGGTTAAAAAATGCTAATGGCGCCGATATTAAAATGCTAATGGTGTGTCGTCGACAACATTTATCAAAACTGTACTATATCTTTACAATATTATAACCCATGTTTTTTTTTGTTGCCAAAAATAAAAAAAAAGTTCCACGTTTTTTTGTTTTTCCGAAAAAGTTTATCTAAATTGGGATAAAACCAACTTCTTTTTTGAATTCGTACATTTGCCACTGTTGTTATGTGTTCTTACCAAATAAGCCACAGCTTTTTCTTCGATTGCTTTTTCCAACTTTATGAGATCCTCCTTAACCTAAGATTTTTACAAAGTTTGAACTGTATATCATATAGTCTAGACAATATATCTTGCACAGAATGTTATCTATTGCTAAAAAAATTCAAAGGTAAGATAAAATGTCATCTTCATAACTAATATAAGGTTAGATGATCTAAAACCAATACGAATTAACAATGGAGCAACGGTGTGAATCTGTGATTAATATTAAGGTAATCAAAGAAGATATTAATAAGAGATGAAAGTTAACAAAAAGTTATAGCTGTTGTAAATTGGGTTCTGGTATGAATCTTAACTTTTTGGTTTCTTTTAGTCTGCAGATTTCACAGAGGAACTGGGTAATCCAGAAAACAACTGTCCTAGTCTGTTAACTGTCCCATTAAATATCAGAGGCTCTGAGGTTTTAAGACCATGAGACGCAATCCCAATCCCAGAAACCGCTGTTTTTCGCTCTCTAAACGATGCCCAAGTGACCATATAGAGTCCTAGAATGATGAAGAATCCACCCACAACGCTGCACGGAGGGAAAGAAACTGAATTTATTAAACTTGGAAGTGAGAATGTGGATGGTTAAAAAAGATTCCAGAAAATGTATTTAACCTTCCGAGATAAATAGGGCTACCGAGAAAGATTCTCGATAGGAAAGCTGATGCAGCGGGCTGAAGAGGATTGTAGAGAGCAACCAAGGCAGGACCAATGATCTTATTGGACCAAGTCAAGAGTCCATAGTTTAGTGCTGACGCGATAACTCCCTAGAGAGAAGAAAAACCAGATGAATTGTGTCAATGATTACGCGAGAAACATGTGAGTAGATGAACAAAAATCTTGACGCAACTTACTGCATATATAACTGCAAGAACCTCAGATTGTGTAAGCCTCCAATCCAATGGCTCCTTTACCATAAAGAAAGCTGTTGTGCACATTAGTACTGTACCAAAGAAGTATGATAATGCAGCAACAGAAAGATTTGCCGGATACTTCTTCAAAAGTGGCGCCTGGAGAGTTTCCATTACATCCACATTATGCACAGAGGTTAGTAGGCTGCAGTTTATGCGTTGGTCTAAACCAAACCAAAGAAACCGAAACAATGAAGAGATTTACCTGAATGGCAAGAAAAGTAGCCATACACATGCAGTTTCCAATCAAGCATAAAACTCCAATGTGCCATGTCTCAAATCCAAGATCGAGAAAACCAGAGACCAACCACCCAGTAGGCTCAGGTTGACCTTTAGCACTGATTTCATTGTTCATCGCAAAGTCTGCATCTTTATCTCCTAACAAGGCCGGACCTCGAAATAGAACCATAAAGACAGCACCCATAACACACACAAGTGTGCCTCCAACCTTAGTTTGACCTTCGATTCTCAACAAATTCACTCTTTCTGTACTGCATACAAAGTAGGAGACATCAAAAAAACCAAAAGTGAAGGCACATCTAAGAGGATAACTCTAAAAAAGAATCATACTCACCCCATCATTACAGCCAAGAGAAAGGTAAAGACCGGGATGGATGGTTGAATGGCAGCAGCATAAGTTGGATTTGTGTATGTAAGACCGATAAGAAATAACAATTGGTTGCCAAATACCCTATCAAAATTGAGAATAGCGCAGAGGTGAACCAATATGTTTAATCTTCATAAACATGAATAGAAGATACTGAGACCTGATAGAGATGATTTCTTACCCTGCTAAGCCCAGAAAGAAAAATGACAAGAGAAGGCTTTTATTCAATGGAGTTCTGATCCTTCTACATACATGAAAAACGAACAATGTTCATTGATTAAATTTTGAAAAGATGAACATTCAAAGTTTGAGAGTGGTCTCGCATAAACTTGACGCAGTACAACCTCCCACACCATTCTTTTATAGAACTAGACAAGCCTAGCTCGAGAAACCAGATACTAGTTTCAAATGTACTTATCGCAAAACCCGAAGAAGAGACATGAAACTCAGAGAACATAATATCTAAATCTACTAACAGGAAGTAAACGGGACACAAATCTCAACTTAAATCTACGCACATTGCTCCAAATCTGAAATCTAGTTCTTCTACTATAAAGATCACAATGACTTTTAATACCCAGTAGAACTTACACAAATTCATTAGAGAGAAAACTTAAATCAAAATCCGACAATCCATACTAATGGATCAAGCAATAACCAGGGGACTGTATAGTTCTAACTTTCGATCATAAAACCAGGAAACCATTGAAACCCATCTCGAGAGCGTAAGTCAAAACTAAAAAAACAGAGAAAACAAAGGTGGAACAAAAAGTTGGCACCTTTCGCGGAAGTAAGCAAGAGGAGCGAGAATAGAGAGAGCAAGAAGATCACGGCATACACAGAAGACAAGCTGGTTGACTCCAACGTTGAGAGCTACTTTTGTAATCACATGGTATCCGCCATTAAAGAGCTGAACAAACGCCATGGCAGTGTGTGCCATCCGAGCGTCTCTCTCCGCCGCCGATCCGCCTCCGGTCAGGATCATCGGCGCCGTCATCTTTCCGATTTACTCGGCCCGTCTCTACTCTCTCTCTCTCTCTCTGACTTGTTATAAGTTATAGATGAAGCGAAGACTATAAAAGTGAGATCCTTTACTTCGTTAGCAACGAATCTGCTTCTTCTATTTGTCGAGTCTTTTCTATAGGTTCTATGCAAAATTTCTTCAATTTTTATACAATTTTATGAGATTTTTTTCTATTTTTTTTTTCAAATCGATCTACTTTGATTTTAGCCTATACCATTCTAGATATTTTACATTCCTGAAATTTGGTTATGGCAATAGGCTGCCTAATTTAGGCATATCAATCAATTCGACATAATCTTTTGATCATCTCAAATTTTATTATTAAAACTTGTTTGTAAACCAAAGTGAAATACAAATCTCAAACAAGAAAAACTAAGTCGACGGACGAAACAAGTTAAATTATGCCAGAGAAAAAACATGAATTCCCCGAAGATTAAATCTTATATAAAGGAAACTTGAACACATAACAAAACAGAAATTTTAAAGCCGAAATCGAAAAAGATCGAAACCAAAAACTAAGTAAATACACAAACTTAAATCCGAAAAAACACTTGACGTAAGCACCAAAGAAAATCTTTTCTTTTGAAAAAGCTGTGAATGCGATTTACCAATACTGTTCACAGCCAACCAATCGATAACATCTGCTTCCTCCTATCTCAATGAGAGATGATCTTTCGAAACCAAATAACCAAGACTTCATAACCCGATAAGTAAATGCCAAAACTAAGCCTCATAAAACATTTCCGGATCATCCTTAATTTGTTCTTGTGGTGACCAATGGACGCCCATGGACAGCCCATTTGGATATGGGCGTTAATGGGCATGGACTATAATGGACATGGGCTATAATGGACATGGACGTTATTTGTCCATAACTAAAATGGTCAATATTGGACCGGGCTAATGGACGTGGAGAGCCCATTTTGACAGCTCTATCCGGATGGCGCGAAGACGATTGGACATAATAAAAATTAACTTTTTCGGATGAAAAAAATAAAAAATAAAATAAAATTTGAATTTACATATATATTTGGATAATCATTTGACTGAAAATATAATTAAATTTTACAAATAAACACAAGAAATAATTAATCATAATTGCAAAATATACAGGGTAAATTAAATGTTTTTTTGAATACAAAAGTTTACAAATTGAAATTCTAAAGAAGCGGAGGGAGTAATTAAATTAATTATTACGAAGAGAATTTCAATAACCAAAAAAGCCCAACAACGGAGGCATTGGGTAATCTTCACATCGGGACATGGACGGCGAAGGGGAAGGAAGCGGAATACGGCTGAGCAAGAGATTCGCCGGCGGGAAGGTCACCGGCGGTAGCTTAGAAGTTGATTACAAGACCAAATCCGGTACCGCTTGGAGCCACTCTTTCCTGAACCAGAAGCCATGGCATCCGCTTTCTTATCCCAATCAGCGCCGCAAATGGATCGCCGAGCAGACTCACGCCCAACACGATCGCAGAGCCGAAGAAGTGGCCCGCGAGGTACATCATCGCACATGCTCTCCATTTTCTCGTGGTTGTGTTATTGATTCAATTCGTGTTTTCCTTACTTTCTTCTTCGTGGATTTGCAGTTTGCGCAAGAGCAAGAATTTTTCAAGCAAGCAGCTCTCATCTCGAAGAAAGAAAGAGAGAAGGTTAGTTTTTCTGAGTCTGATTAGGGTTTATGTTATTCAGATTTTGTATGGAGTTCAATTTCTGAGGATAACTTTGTTCACAAGTACCTTAATGCTTCAAATTAGGTTTCTGTAGTCTGGTGATGATAGTTTTGAATTCTTAGGCTGAATTGTAATATCCACTTGTTGCTGACTCTTACCAATCAGAATCCATTTGAGATATGTCTTAACTCTTTGGAACTCTTTTGATCCTTAGGTAGATGTCAAAACCTATGCAATTATTGAAATTTGGTGAAACTAGTGATTGTACTTAGTTTTGTGTTACATGATATTGATTCCTGAGATTAATGCGCAGATCGAAACAATGAAAGCTGTGAGCTTTATGTATGTTCGCCCACCTGGCTATGATCCTGAAAGTGCCAAAGCAGCAGAATACGCGGATGATAAACACAAGGGTCAGGGTTCTTCAACTCAGGATCCAATGGCGGAAGACAATTTTGGTTCTAGGTATGTTGACAGAAACAGATATTTGGTTTGACAGATTATTGCTAGAACGATATTAAGTTAGATCTTTGTGGGGGAAATTTGACAATAATTTATTTTCTCTTTGGCGCAATGCAGACCAGAAGAATCACAAGGCGGGGGAGACCGCACAGGTCAGGAAAGGAAGAAACCACGACCCAAAGATGTGTTTGGGCGTGCTCTTCCTACTGAAGAAGAATTTGAGGTCCTTAAAAATGCACCAAGGTATTGCCATATTTTTTTACTCTTGCAATTATGTTAATCATTAAGTGCTCCAGTGTCATTGTGGAAATATTGCAACATGTAAATGAAATTTTTCTCATCACATACTATGATTGGAATTGTGCAGGATGGAGACTGGTATTCCTGGGCGAGTAAAGCCATTTGCAGTTGAAGTGCGTAATGTGAAATGTCTGAGATGTGGAAACTTTGGGCATCAAAGCGGTGATCGTGACTGTCCATTAAAGGATGCAGTAATGCCAAATGAAGAACTTCGATTGAAAAGAGATGATCCGTTGACTGCTATCATTGCACATACAGATCCCAGTGAGGTTGGTTTTAATTTCGCTTAATTCCCCATCTTTCAGAATCTTTCGTTAATTAGTTGGCTTAGGTATGGACAACTGAAGGTTCAATGGTTTATGTATCATTAACCGGAAATGCTCTCTAACTTTTTGCAGCCTCTGAAGTGGGAGTTGAAACAAAAGCCCGGCTTGAGTCCTCCTCGTGGTGGTTTTGATCCTGATGATCCAAATCAACAAATCGTCGCTGAAGATATATTTGATGAATATGGAGGTGAATTTCTTAATTCAGAAAGGTTTTTCTTTTCACAAATCCCATCTCATTTTTTATATCGTTACTTAATGTCAATTTCTTTTGATATCTCAGGGTTTCTTGAGGGCAGCATCCCAATAGAATTACTGAAGAGTATGTCGTCGGATAAGAAAAGAAAATCCAAAAAGAACAAAAAGCAGAAGAAGCATTCATCTCGGACTATTGAGGAAACTGATGAATCTTCAACAGGCTCAGAAGATAGTAGAGAGAAGAGGGGATCGAAGAAGCGCAAGAAACTTAAGAAGAAGAGCAAGAAGCATTATGATTCTGACTCACTCTCCTTTGAAGATTCAGACTCTGACAGTGACCATCTGAGTAGGAGAAGACACACAAAGCATGTAGATCCGTCTGCGACATTAAAATCTGAGGTTTACCACCAAGGGAACATTCACAGAGAAAAGCATTACGATGACGAGAAGCACCAGAAACGGAAGGAAATCGTGGATAGACCATCTGCTTCATCCGATGATTCAGATTATTATAGAAGTCACAGTAGTAGAAAGAAAAGATCAGAAGATGATTACAAAAGCCATCACAGGGAGAGAAAGCAAGTGCATAGTAACGATCCTGTTTCAGAGAAAAGTCAGAAACAGTATTATTCAGAGTCTGGAAAGCGTCATAGTATCAAGAAAGAGCATAGATATGATGAGAGAAGACACGGATATGTCGATATGGAGTCTGAAAATCGTCATAGATCCGAGAGGAAACCGAGATATGATGATCGTGATTCTGAGAGGCATAACAGGAGTGTGAAGGGGAAAGAAAAGCATGTGTATGAAGATCCTGAAGAGTTTTCTGACAGATACAGAAGCAAGAAGAATTCAGAATCTGATTCGGAATCAAACCGTAGAAGTAGAAAGAAGAAGCAGAAGCATACGTTATCATCGGAAGAAGAAGAACAAACTCGTAAGCATCGATACAGCACTAACAGAAGGATAAACTGAGTCTATGCTATGTCAATTGTCCTGGACCAAGAGTTATGGTTCCGGTCTGAATGAGATTGCGAGATATGTACGATTGTTTTTTTGTCTTCGTATATTTGGTCTTTTGAAGCTTAAATAGTTAAATGAGCCTATGACTGTTTTTATTATTTGAGCACGTGACAAGCCAGTTAGCCACGTGGAGAAATAAAGCAAAAAAAAAAAAGATTAGCAACGAATAAACGGTGCGTTTTAAGTGTTGCTTTCCCGGAGTCATTTGGAGAGCAAGGGAGAGAATCCATGTCCTTGATTCATCGTCGGTTAAATCGTTTTACTGGATTATCGTCTGTTAATGCTTGGAATTTGCAGATACGAGAAGCGGTTAATCGAAATGATCCGGTGGAATCACTTCTTCTATTTCGAGAAATGAAGCGCGGTGGATTTGAACCGAACAACTTTACTTTTCCATTTGTGGCGAAGGCGTGTGCTAGGCTCGCTGATATTGGGTGCTGTGAGATGATTCATACCCATTTGATAAAGTCTCCGTTTTGGTCTGATGTGTTCGTTGGGACAGCGACTGTTGATATGTTTGTGAAATGTAATTCTCTGGATGATGCCGCCAAGGTGTTTGAGAGAATGCCTGAGAGAGATGCTACCACTTGGAACGCAATGCTATCTGGATTCTATCAGTCGGGTCACACGGATAAGGTGTTTTCATTATTTCGTGAAATGAGGCTCGACGAGATCCCACCTGATTCTGTGACTGTTATGACCTTGATTCAATCTGCATCTTTTGAAAAAAATTTGAAGCTTTTGAAGGTCATGCATGCTTTTGGGATACGTTTAGGTGTAGATTCACAAGCTACAGTTGCCAATACTTGGATTTCTGCTTATGGGAAATGTGGTGATTTGGATTCAGCAAAGTTAGTTTTCGAAGCTATTGACAGAGGTGACAGAACTGTTGTGTCTTGGAACTCTGTGTTCAAAGCATTTGCAGTTTTTGGTGAAGCATTTGATGCTTTTGGTATTTACCGGTTGATGCTGCTTGAAGAGTTTAAGCCGGATTTGAGCACCTTTATTAACCTGGCTGCATCGTGCCAGAACCCTGAAACACTAACACATGGAAAATTGATTCATTCTCATGCAATCCATCTCGGTACAGATGAAGATATCGAAGCGATTAATACCTTCATTTCTATGTATTCGAAATCCGGGGATTCCTGTTCAGCGAGGCTTTTGTTTGACATAATGCCTTCCAGAACATGTGTTTCTTGGACTGTGATGATAAGTGGGTATGCCGAGAAAGGGGATATGGATGAAGCTTTGGCCTTATTTCATGCCATGGCCAAAACAGGAGTGAATCCAGATTTAGTTACCTTACTCTCCCTCATTTCAGGTTGTGGAAAATTTGGTTCACTGGAGATTGGAAAATGGATTGATGGTAGAGCAGATATGTACTGTTGCAAGAAAGATAATGTCATGGTTTGCAATGCTCTTATTGATATGTACTCAAAATGTGGAAGTATACCCGAAGCTCGAGACATCTTCGATAACACGCCTGAGAAAACTGTCGTCACATGGACTACAATGATAGCTGGATATGCTTTGAACGGTATCTTCCTCGAAGCTTTGGAACTTTTCAGCAAGATGATAGATTTGGATTATAAACCAAACCACATAACATTCCTAGCCGTTCTTCAAGCTTGTGCTCATTCGGGTTCTCTGGAAAAAGGTTGGGAGTATTTCCACATCATGAAACAAGTATACAACATCAGCCCTGGACTAGAACATTACTCTTGTATGGTAGATCTTCTGGGAAGAAAGGGAAAGCTCGAAGAAGCATTAAAACTCATCCGTAACATGTCAGCTAAACCTGATGCTGGCATATGGGGCGCATTGCTTAGTGCCTGCAAGATCCATCGTAATGTAAAGATAGCTGAGCAAGCCGCTGACAGTCTTTTTAACTTGGAACCGCAAATGGCAGCGCCTTATGTAGAAATGTCAAACATATATGCAGCTGCTGGTATGTGGGATGGTTTTGCGAGGATCAGATCAGTGATGAAACTCAGGAACATTAAGAAGTATCCAGGTGAAAGCGTGATTCAAGTGAACGGCAAAAATCACACTTTCACTGTAGGAGAACGTGGTCATGTGGAAAATGAAGCCATATACTTAACGCTGAATGGTTTGAGTTTGTTTGCGAGAGATGAAGAACATTTATTGCATAAAGATGTGTACAAAGAACAAAGTTATGAACTTTTCATTTGATGACAATGACTTTTTTAGTAGATTTGTTGTTATTATTACTAGGACTTAGACTCCCCGCGATATCGCGGGGGAAAAGATTTCAAAAAAATTTAAAGAAAAAAATATCAAACGAAATTTCATAATAAATTGAGACAACAAGTTTCAAAACAATTTTTCGTTAAATAATGTAAATGTTGCAATAGTTCAATTAAACAAGGAACGACAATGTATTTCCCCCCCATAACTTTCGTATAGCTCCACTTCCACCCAAACTTTCACTCTCTGTCTTATTCTCCCCAGAATCATAGTTCTATATTTAATTACCCCCAAATCTTAAGTTCGAGACCTAGTTGTACATAGAGGTTGGTTTATTGGGATGAAGACGTAAACCGGATACGAAACCAAGAAACCCATACGTCAAACCGAACTGAAAACCAGAGTCGAGTTAATACCGGACTTGTAACCCGCAATATCAACGTTTGTTTAAAAATCCCCAATTCCAGAAAACTAAGAACCCTAAAAAAGCTCAGAATTCAAATCATCACATCGAAGATCCAATTTCAAATCATCACATCGAATCTCTGATTTCTTGTATCACATCGATATGAACAATGAGTAATGCATCCGGAATTTATACTTGAACGTCAAATCCCCAAATGCAAGTAGAGAAAGAGATCTTTGAGGAGAGGGTAGAACCGCAGAAGATGTATAGTGAAAAGCGAGATTGTTGATGTTCTAGGTTATGTGATCATGTTTGGTTTGAATAAAGTGCTTGGTTGATTCAATTGTGATGTAATGCTCTTATTGAGAAAAAAACAGAGACGCATTTGGTTGTTATTTTAAAAAAAATGCATTCAACAGAGAGAAAACAGAGACAAAATGGAAGTTAAAAATGCATTCAATATGCATAATTTGGCTCAGACCAGTTCATAACAAAGACAGCAATTAAGAAGCTTGAAAAACAAAGACAAATTAGACTCCAAACAAACCCAAGACACATTTAGTTTAAAAGCCTGAAAAACAGACATTAGAGGCAAGCTTCTTAATCCTAGAAAACAGACCAAAAGCTTTAACAAAAAAACAGACCAAAAGCTTCTTCTAAGCTCTATACCAGCTCAGTTCAACCTCATTTCCTGCGTGACAGTTCCTTGAGAAGGTTCACCTTGAGGAACCTGTAATAACAACACAAACAAAAGAGTTAAACAACACACATAAAACATAGTACGTAGACACATTAGAATATGAAACACAAACCTCTTTCTTCTTCTTATGAAACCTAGAGTTGTGATTAGCCTCACCACATACCCCACAATGCATAACTCGTTTTAGAAGTTTTGGTTGCTTCTTCAAAGGAGACTCATTTTTTCCTTTCTTTCTTTTCACCTTCTTACTTCTTTTTTTCCTGCCAGGCTGTGGAGGCTCAGGAGCTGGATGCACTTGAGGAGCTGTTCCAACAGGCCAAAACCTTGCACCTCTTAATGGAACAAGACCCTCTGTATAGTTCTTCTTCCATTGAGTTGTACGAAACCAGTGGCAGACATAATCCTCAACTTTAAGTTTCAACTTAAGGATAACACCATATGCATGTACACAAGGGATTCCTGTGATGTCCCATTTCCTACAGCTACAAGTCCTCTGATTCAAACTCACACGGTAAGAACAACCAGACAACATAGCTAAAAACATCTTGTTTGTACTTCGATGAACCTTAACTTCTGCAGCATCTTCAAGCTCTTTTGCAAGATATTCTTCCACATATGGTGTACATAAACCCTTGTGATCATGAGATTTAACACTTCTTTTGGCAATACGTACCATTGCAAGCCGAGCAATCATTTCTAACATAGGCACCAGTGGCTTCTCTCTTGCTTTGACTATCGTGTTGTTAAATGATTCTGTGGAGTTGTTCTCAACATCTTCAACATAGTGGCCAATTTTGTAGAAAGCTCTACACCATCTCATTGGGTTTGACTTCATCACATCCTCATAAACACCCATATCATACTGCTTCAATCTCTCTAGGTTTTCTCTATATTCAGCCTCATTATAACTCCATGCTAGATTCCAGATAAACGGCTTCATCTGTGATTTTTTACCATGATTTGCCTTCAAATTCCCATATATGTGTCTGACACACATCCTATGTTCAATCTGTGGTAACTCTATCTCCACAGCTCTAATCAATCCCTGTAACATAACCACAAATTAAAGCAGAGAAAACATAGTAGAAAAACAAAGTAATAACCAATACAAACATTAATACCTTCTGACGATCCGAGATCAATATGTATCCTTCACCATCTTTTAGTCCCAAATCAGCTTTAACCTTGTTCACAAACCACAGCCAATTAGGGCCATTCTCCACTTGGACAACGCCCCATGCCACTGGATATATAGCGTTGTCCGCATCTCGTCCTAAAGCTACTAACAACTGACCTTTTGTTTTTCCTCTTAAGAAACAGCCATCTACTCCTAATATCGGCCTACAAGTCTCCTTCCATGTTCTTCTAAGACTCTCAAAGCACACATAGAATCTATTGAATTCATCTTCACCATTCTCATTCGTGAGGGTATCAATTTCCACCGTAGAACCCGGATTTGATTCTTCTATCTCAACACCAAAATCTCTAATCCGTGCAAATTGCTCATCATATTCTTTATCAATCCATTTCAAAGCTTTAAGCCTAGCATCTTGGCACTGAGGCCTCGATACACTAATCTTCCATTTTTGCATTATCAGTTCTTCAATCTTCATTGGCATAAAGTAAACAGGTTCATCCCGGATCTTGTCAAGAAATAATCTTGCAATCACTGGCACTTTCATCAGCTCACACTCCCCATTAACCGTACAACTATGCTTTTCCTTAAATTTCTTAACTTGCCACTTATCAGACTTAGAACTAACTGAGCAGTAGATACGCCATTCGCAACCATCAGCATTACAACGATACCCAAGCTTTGTTTTATCATACCTGTACTGCCTGATATTCCTACCTGATCGAAGAGCGTAGTCGAGGACAGCTTCTTTAAACGCGATTTTATTGTAGAACACTTGGTCCTTGTACAAATTCCCATCACCACGTCTGATATCAATACGATCTCTCCCCCGTTGAACATCTTCGTCTTCGTCACTATCACTCTCGGGAATGACATCGTGACGAATACACGGTTCATCGACGTATTCGTTTACTGCTTGCTCGAGGTTGAATTCACTTCGTGCGGTTTGGTCTTCCAAATTTTCATCATCGGGTTCCTCATCAATATGAACATTGTTCATCTCGATCTCGAGTACTGACATCGGCGAAGATAAACGAACTCGCGATTAGAGGTTTTGGGTCACTTTCTTTTCTTCGATATTGCAAAATCACGATTACGTGGGGAAGGGTTTTGTATTTGGGATTTTTCTTGTTTAGGGAATTTATGATTTGGGGGTAATCGGGTCTAGATTTCAAGTTAAATTGGTTTAGGTCCGGCTTAAGTTCGTTTATGTTGGTTAAAACTTGATTGGTCTACAGTAAACCAATATTAATCCAGCCCGATGTGTAAATTAATTTCGAACTTTCATTTTATGTGGAGATATGTATCAAATTTTAGATCTGGGGAGAAATAATTATAGAACTATTTTGTTGGGAAGAAATAGAGAGAGGGTGAAACTTTGGGTGGATGTGGGGCTATATGAAAGTTATGGGGGGGAAATACATTGTCGTGAGGTGTTACGATAAAAAGATGCAACCGTAGAAAATGTTTATTCAGATTGCAATTTTTTGAAAAAAACAATCGTAAATATATATTTTAGTTAAGAAAACCAAAACTATATAATATGAGACGTAACTTTAAATGAATAGATGCAACTATGAAGACATAACCGTAAACTGAAAAGATACGCATGTAATTGAGCAAATATAACTGTAAAAAAAAAACCCGTAAATATGTTAACGAAGAGATACGATAAAAAAACACAACCGTAAAAAAATATCCGTAAATATTTGAATGAAAGGATACGATAAAAGACACAACCGAAAAAAACTAACCGTATATATTTAAACGAAAGGTTGCGATAAAAAGACGCAACCGTTCAGAGGTGCAAAAGACATTTATTGAGATTGCTATTATATATAGATTAGGATGTAGTTTTGTAATGGGGAATCTAGTTTATTGTTTGAATAATTAATATAAGAAGATATAAAGTAAAAGCTAATTATGATTTGTGGAGGACCAGATTCTATTGGCATTTCTTTATTTTATTCACCACCAATATCTTTGGGAATTTATCAAATTAAAAGGATAAAGACTTTTTATACACTTTTAAGTAATTATATTACATAAAAAAAGATATTTTTCCTTAACCATGTTCTTAGAACTCCGTGTCCATTGCGCGTTCCCACGTCGGAGATATTTTCTTTATTACGCTTCACCTTTTAGTTTTTCAAATATTCAATGAAACCCCAATACTTTTATAAGTTTTCTTAACCACCCAATTAGAGCCACAAATATTCCAAAAAATGCCTATTTTGCTATGTATCCTAAGTTCACAATACTCATAAGAGATCAAATAATTGTACTTAAGATGATTTTATGACTGTTTGTCTTCCGTTTTTGTATATGGAGTTTAGACACGATTGAAATTATGAAGACTGGAGTGCTTAACTTATGATTATCATAACAATACGAGGACTAAAAAACAATAAAATATAAATTATACAAAAATGCTTATTCAAAAATGGTAAACGCGTTAAGTAATTATTATTTGGATACAGAGGCCCACGCCTATATCCATATATATCCTCTTCTCCATTAAGCTTTGTTCTTCTGTTCCAATTCATTCTGAAACATTCTTCGCAAATTCGTATCGGTAAATTTTCCTTTTGATCGCACTTTTATCTTTGATCGTACGTATTATCCGTGCTCGATCGAAGCATACGTTGTTATGTGCTTTGTTTTTCTCTATTTCTCTGGATTCGTATGATCGAATTGCTGAATATGGTCTCTGATATTGTTGTATGTGGATCCATTTTTTGTTTTTTTATCTTTGACGTGTATAATTGTTGTGATCTATGAGAATTATGTCTAAGATTTGTTTTGAAACGTCCAAGTCAAAGTTAAAGTTTGTTTGATCTTTGACCCTGATGATGATGAATCTAAATCTTGTAGGTTTAAGTTAAAAAACAATGGGAGGTGGTAAAGACAAGCATCATGATGAGCAAGACAAAGGATTTCATGGTTTTCCAGGAGGAGGACATCATTACCCACCTGCTCAAGGAGGGTATCCTCCACAAGGTTACCCACCACAAGGGTATCCTCCAGCTGGAGGCTACCCACCTGCCGGATATCCTCCTGGTGCATACCCTCCTGCGCCTGGAGGTTATCCTCCTGCTGGCTATCCTGCACCTGGAGCTCACCATACAGGTATTATCCCGTTAAAGTGCTCTTTTTTTTTAGTTTTGGTATCATGATGCTGCTAATAGGAAAATGGTTTGTAAATGTTGATGGTTTCTATGAAAAAGTAATGGAGTGTCTTTGTAGCTTGTTTGGATTATCAACCTGCTAAATATTGTTAAGTTTGAATGGTAATAGAACAAGAGTTTGTAAATGTTTCTGTTTTCTGTGCAAAAGCTAAGGATTTTTCTTGAAGTTTTCTGGATTGTCAACCTTTGGGAATACTGTGTCAGTTTGAATGATAATAGGAAAATAGTTTGTAAGTGATGTTGTTTTCTATATAAAAGCTAAGAACTGGCCTTGTAGTTTGCTAGATTACCAGCCTGCTACGTTTTGTCAAGTTTAAATGATAATAGGACAATAGTTTCTTAATTGTTCCTGTTTTCTGTGGTAAAGTATTCTTAATTTCTTAAACAGGAAAAAGAATACTAAATTCATTTGTGCTCCATTGGTGTTTATTGGTCTAAATATTGAATCTTTTAGGTGTTTTTGGAGTGGCATTCAGATAACATTGATGTTTTAACCTTAACTATCTAGTACAAGTACATTTTAATTCGATTGCAATTATCATATGAACAACTTTGTGGTCTCTTTGATCCGTTCTCGTAATTTGGGGTTCTCCATGTAATACTTTTTTCTTTTTTAATCAGGACATTCTAGTGGTGGAATCGGAGGCATGATAGCAGGTGCAGCCGCAGCCTATGGAGCTCACCATGTTGGTCATGCCTCTCACAACCCTTACGGGCATGCTGTAGGACATGGAGGGTATGGCCATGGCCCTGCTCATGGCTTTGGTGGTCATGGTCATGGTAAGTTCAAGCATGGAAAGCATGGAGGCAAATTCAAGCACGGAAAGCATGGAAAGCATGGCAAGCACGGGAAACATGGTATGTTTGGAGGAGGAGGCAAATTCAAGAAGTGGAAGTAATCTCAAAAACCCCCCTTTGATCCTCTCCTCCAGTATAGTCTCATTACCTGACCGATGTTTCTAATAATCTCCCTTCAAAACATATTACATTTTAACTATGTCGGTTTTGAGATTGCTGGTTCGAGAGAGTGCTAGTATAAATCTTATGGTCTCTGCAGAAGAGGTTCTTTAATCTCTCAATAGCAGATTCTTTGAAACTTATCTATAATTTGGTATTGTAATGACAGTTTGTGTTTGCTTTTTCTATCTCTCTTTTTTCAATATCTCTTATGTTTGATAATCTGATGTTGGTGGAGTTCTCAAAAATATTTATGCTATTGTAGACACTGACCTTGTATCTTGTTCTTCTTCGTTTTCTTGCCTTTACTTTTGATTCGGTCCTATGAACTCCAAAGTACTTCGAGATTATCTTATCTATATATACATTTTTGAATCACAATTAACAAATAAATCCTGAAGTTGAGAAGTATTTACAATGCCATGCCATTAGCATTAATTATTTAGATTTGTTTTATTTAAGTAAAGATTTTTAAATGAAATTCATTTCTCATATATTTAGCAAAAGTCTCTACAAAATCTTTCCTTATCTATTTAAGTAAAGATTTTGAAATCAAATATGTTCTCAACAATTTACCAAAAATCTCTACACAATCTTTTTAAAAATCTCGACTTAGTTAACTTCTGATTTTTATCTGCAAAAAAAAAAAATTAATAGTAACGAGTGATGTAAAAATCGGGAATGTTGATATTACAATTTCTTCTACTTTTTTTTTTTTCATATAATGAAAATTATTTTTTAGGGATACTTTCTCAAAACCTCTAAATAAAACAAAAGGTTTCAAAAGATAGCTTCTCTTTTGGCGGGTCGACACGCAAACCCGCAACTCTCTACGGGCTTATCCGCATGAACCTGCGACCCGTAGTGGATAAAAATATTATTCAAAAAAAATAACAAGTGATGTTTAATTTTACGGAACGGGGTTATATGGTGCAACGGGTTTAGATAGATATTAATATTAAACAATATACTATGGATGAAATCTTAGAATTAAAAATCAAAATTTAATTATAAAATCAGAAACACTAAACAAAATAAACAATATTAAAAAAACAAATACAACTTAAAATTTTGCTAAAAAAATTTTTAGTTATAAAAAATCCGACCCGCGGTGTACCGCGGGGTAAAATCTAGTGTACTTAATAAATTTAAAAGAAAGCATATAAAATTTAATCACACTCTATGCAATAACGAGACAAAGACTCGAGGTCGTGAAAAAATAGTTTGTTGTTCTCTAATTAGGGATTCACTTTTACAGAGAACAAGTTCTATTTTTTTTAATTTAGCATCTGAAATAATTTTGATTTTGAATAGTTGACATGAAATAATATTATCTGTTAACACAAATGAACAGATAAACTAAACAAACTTCCCTTTTTTTTTTTTTGCCGTCTAATAAACTTTATTAAAATCAAAAGGAGAGTTCAAAAAAGAACCAAAGACAACAGATCATGTAAATACAACCCAAAACAGAGCCTCACAAAAACAGAGCATTATAACTATGAAGGATGTTCTATCAAATTCATCTCCGCTTTTCCTCTTCGATACGGGAATGGAGCCACATCGGACCACCTCGAGATAAATATGATCGTGTGCGACCCTCCCTTGTAACACTAACGGCAATATCTCTTGCGACCGAATTCGCTTTGGTAGATGAAACTTTGAACACTATTTTACCAAAGGAGGAGATTAACCTGTGTACCTTGTCGAGATAAGAATGATACCGTGGCCAGTTGGATGGATCAATAATGGCTTCAATAGCAGCACTGCAGTCTGACCAAATTTCAATGTTATCCAAATGTAAATCTAAGAGACTACTTAAAACCCAAAGCATCCCTCGTAATTCCGCTGCAATACGGTTTGAAGCAGGAAGAAACATTTCTCTCGCATGAAAAATTGCATCTCCCTGATGATTTCTAACTATCCATGCGCCACCACACATATGTGAATCATTTAACCAAGACATATGGATGTTACACTTAAGAAAGTCAATCGGTGGTTTAACCCAACGACCTTCGCTTCGCATAACCGGTACATTACTCATGGAAGTTTGTGGTTGTAATCTTTAATCTTGTTCCACTCTTCCGCTTCCTCTATTGCGTGACTGACCAGAGCATTCAAATCCCCCTGTTTCCCAGCATATAAAATTTCATTTCGGTGCTTCCAAATTCCCCACAAGATCCATGGAATCGCCATTCTAATCCTAAGAGATACACTCTCCTGTTTCATAACTTTTAACAAGAATGCGATATTGTCATGTATAGAATCTGTGAAACCATGAGGAGGAAAAGTGATATTGACGATCTCCCAGACTTCACGAGCCGGCCAACAATTGAATAAAACATGACTGATTGATTCAATAGCGCCCTGACACATAGCACATTGAGGATCAGAGTTCATGCCATGGGCTTGTAAACACACTGATACAGCTAGTGCACCAGATAACGCTCGCCATAAGAACATTTTGATTTTAGGAATAGTTTTGACCTTCCAAATCTTCGCTTTGAGTGCACGAGACTCTTGTTCATGCTCAGAAATTGGAACAGGCACATGTTGCAAGTGAGAGATCAACCAGTTACCACTCTTCACCGTGTAGCAACCGGACCGATTATATGCCCATACGTAACTGTCCGATGAAGCTAAATTAGGAGGATACGACATTATTCTGACAACATCCGGTGGAAAGAACAGCTCCGATAATAAAGGATGGTTCCAAGAGCCTTGGGGGGTTATAAGGTTTGAAACTCGTAAGTCTAAATCGAAAAGAGACTGTTTATTGAAGGGACGCCGCAGAGTATTATCAAAAATCCATTTGTCTATCCATACGCTCGTTGTTTGACCATTACCTATGTTCTTGATGAGACCTTTTGCAAGCAGATCACGACCGTGAATAATGCTTCGCCAAGCATAAGACGGTCTGGCACCGATAGCAGTATCCATAAAGTCCTTCCGGTGATAATATCTTGCTTTAAAAACCCGAGCCAATAAGGAATTTGGCTTTGTAAGAAGTCGCCAAGCCTGTTTTGCGAGTAAAGCTTGATTAAAATCACCAACATCTCGGAAGCCTAAACCACCTTCTTTCCTTGTTTTACACATCTTCTCCCAAGAGACCCAATGCATCTTCTTCTTTTCTTCACATGAATTCCACCAGAAGCTTGTCATTGCACTTGTAATCTGTTGACATTGATATTTTGTAAGTCTAAAGCAAGACATGGCGTACACTGGTAAAGCCATAGCAACTGATTTAAGGAGGACTTCCTTCCCTCCCAAAGATAACGTCTTTGCATACCATCCAGTCAACCGGGTTTTAAGCTTTTTAGTAATGTATGCCAACAAATCACACTTAGAACCGCTAAAACACTCCGGGAGACCAAGATACATACCATCGCCACCCTCTTTAAAAATTCCAAGAAACAATCCCAGCAAATGTCTCATAATCGGCTCCATCTTGTGACCAAAGATAATCGATGATTTTTGAAGATTAATTTCCTGTCCGGAGGCATCACCATAGAGTTTCAAACAATGGAGAATTTCAGCTCCTTCTTTAAAATTAGCCCGGCATAGAAAAAGACTATCGTCAACAAATAACAAATGTTGGATGGAGGGACAATGCCTTGTTAGCCGAATACCAGTAATGCGCCCTTCTACTTCAGCCTTCTTCATGGTGTGAACAAGTGCTTCAGCACACAAAATAAAGATAAAAGGCGATAATGGGTCGCCTTGTCTAATCCCACGCTCCGGTTTGATAAAACCATAGGAATTACCATTCAATAAAACCGAATATGTAACGCTGCGCACACACACCATTAACCAATCAATCCATTTCCTGTCAAAACCAAGACGAATAAAAAGCTCCTCCAAAAAATTCCATTCCACGCGATCATAAGCTTTAGACATATCAGTTTTGATAGCCATGAAGTCTTCATTGCAATCCGGATTGGTTTTTAGAGCGTGAACCATTTCGTGGGCCAAAAGAATATTATCAGAAATTAACCGACCCGAAACAAAGGCTCCTTGTGTGTCAGATACAATCTCGGGCAGCCACACCTTCAACCTTGTGCATAAAATCTTGGAGATGATTTTATAGGAAACAGAACACAAACTAATCGGACGTAGATCCGTCATTCTGTTTGGATTTGGTTTCTTAGGCAATAAACATATTTGAGTAAAGTTCCATTCACCCGGAAATGTGCCAGTTTCAAAGAATTTTCGTACCTCTTCACAAACTTGTTGACCTACTACACTCCAATACGATTGAAAAAACAATCCTGTCATGCCATCCGCTCCAGGAGCACTAGTACTTCCGATAGCAAAAACCGCTTGTCGAATTTCCTCATTTGTGACAGGTTTAATCAGAGCAGCATTCATAAGAGGAGTGACACGGGGAACCATACCATCAAGCAACGCAGAAGCATTACATGGCTGAGAAGAAGTAAACAACTGTTGAAAGTAATCCACAGCTATATTACCTTTAGATCCATCGGCAAACTGTTCCACTCCATTGTCATCGAATAAAGAAAAAATCTTGTTTTGAGCTCTTCTCCCTTGAACACTACCATGGAAGTATTTGGTATTACGATCACCATCATTGAGCCAATTTTTATGACTCTTTTGCTTCCAATAAACCTCTTCTTCCCTATAAGCTTCCGTTAGCTCACCTCGCCATTTTTGAAGAAGAAAAAACCGTGGAAATTGTTTACAACCCTCATCTTCAAGTTGTGCACGCAATATATTAATCCTTGTCTTAGAATTGTTCTGTGAAGAACGTTTCCATTGAGACAACGATTTCCGACATGCTGCAATTCTATCAAAAAGGCTTATCGTACCATGTCTTGCTTGGCTGTTCCATCCTTGTCGAATAATCTCTATAGTTTCTGGTTTAGCAGTCCAACGTCTATCAAACATGAAACGGCCACGAAAAGATTGATTCTCATTGACAAAACGTGTTAACAATGGTCTGTGATCCGAACCAACCCTCTCTAAATATTCTGATTGAACTCTCGGAAATAAATGAAACCATTCCGAGTTACCAAGAGCTCTGTCTAAACGAATCTGAATCCACATGTCATTACGCTTACCAGCCCAAGAGAATTTATTGCCAATAAACGGAATGTCCCGAAGTCTACAATCACTAACCATATTACGGAATGGTATGAATGAGGACTCGTCACGAGCATGGCCACCAAGCTTTTCAGAATTATCCCATATCTCATTTAAATCACCAACAACAAACCATGGCTCATTTCTTGTTAAACCAATACTTGTTACTTTATCCCAAACATCTTGTCTTAAATTACAAGCTGGATCTCCATAAATAAAAGAAACAAAAAACCACAAGGACCCAATCTTGATTTTGGTGTCTATAATTCTCTTATCCGAGTGAAGAACTTCAATCACATATGAAGCTTTCCAAAATAATGCCAAACCTCCACTCAAGCCTTCAGGATCTACTATATGCGCAGAATCATACCCCAACCATTGCTTGACATTCAACACGTGATTACTGGAGTTTTTCGTCTCCAGGAGAAACAAAATATCCGGGAAATGAACACGTCTCATTTCCTTGAGTATAGGAATTGTCAGCGAGCTCCTCAATCCCTGACAATTCCAACTAAGTATGCTCATTATTGCTGCAGCGGTTCCTCATACGGAACCACCGCTAAATCATTTTCAAAACGCCTAGCAACCTTTGGTACTGCCACACCTTCCTCCTCCGCTTTCCTCTTTAACGACAAACTGTCCTCTTCACCTTGTTTTGGTTTTTCTCTATAAACCAACTCTGGTTTCCTTGAGTCCAAAGCTGCTTTAGTCGCCTGAGCTCTTCTTTTATGTTGACTTGGTCGGCGACGATATTTTTTAAGCGTGTCACTTGTACCGGAAGAACTAGCTTGATTGCTAGTTTGAAACACCGTAGTACAAGGACCAAAGTCAGCATTTAAGGTCTTCCGTTCACCAGAATTAGACTCCAAGTGACTGAATCTTGTTAACACATTACTAGCTTTAATCGCAGACGCTAATAGCTTGTCACCATCAACACTTTTGGGATTAACCTGTTTGGTATCAAAATCAAAAACCAATCCCTTGCCTTTGTGTACATTAGTTGTAACCTTTGTGGCAGGCTCCAAACGTAGCAGAGTCTTCTGTCCTTGAGAATCACCTTCGAGATTCCACACTGACCTTCGAACTCGATCAATACGGACTAGTTTCTCCGTGGGATCTGTCACAGATAAATAGCTTCGCATCTCATCCAGCACCTCTTTAGCAATTTTTGGTCTTCCTGTAGCAGCATCAATGCCCACATCATCATTAGTTAATACACCAAACAAGGGATCTTCAGGGCCAAGTTGTGGAATTTTGATCTCTGGAACAGTGGCAGCAACTTTCATCCCCCCCGTAGCACAAGAGTGCCGGTTCTGAGGATTGAAAGGACACCGAGATCTATCATGAGTCAGCCGCTGACATTGAAAGCAACGCTTTCTCACACGTTCATACTCTACCCCAATGGTCACAGTCGTACCATCAGGAAGCTCCACTTCCTTTGAGTTCCATAATGGTTTGTTAACGTCAAACAGAACTTGCACACGAACAAAACCTTTACTTTGTGGTTTAAGAGGATCAAAAGCGACAGTCACCACTTGACCAATGCTCTCCGCTATTTCTTCAAAGGTTTCCACCGTGTAAAAGTTAACCGGTATGTTTCTCAAACGAATCCACAACGGAAGAATTCGAAGGTAATCTTCCGGCGGCTTTTCTACCCATCTTTCAAGTACCATACTCCAATCTTCATAAGTCCATGCTCCACCATGTAGAACAGTCTCCAAGTCATGTTCAGAATCAAAGATGAACTGAAAAGTTTCTTCCGACAGAGCAATTCCCCGAGCTCTGTTAGTAACATGCCATAGCCTAGGCATATCATGAATGAATCTTGACATCCTCTGGTTCTCTGGGCACAATAACCTTCCCATAAGGCTACACACGTTCCTTTCACACGAACTAAATTTCGATAAGTTCTTCAATTTCACTGGTTTGTTCTCTTCTATCGTCATTGCTTGCAGAGCTTTGTCAAGAGTGAGGGACATCACGCAAAATCAGAGCTTGAAACAGAGAATCAATCAATCAAAGGCAGAGAAATTGATAACTTGTGCGGCGGCTCCTCCGTGAATCCTTTGCAACTAGGTTAAATCAGCAAAAAATGGAAAGTTGAAACCAAGCTTCAACCGAAAAAAGGAAAAATCCCAAATCCTCGCCGGCGGAAAAAGGAAAACCCCGGTAATCTACGCCTCTCTCACCGATCTATGAAAGCCTCTAAGTGAAAAGGAGGATCCTAAGCCCACACAAGGGAAAACCTAACCGGACCACAATTACTGGTTTTTTAAAATTAAGAGTAAAGAAACTATATTTTGGAAGACAATTTTGACAAGTTTCCTTCTAGAAAAAGTGAGAAAACAAATCATTTATCTTATAAAGCACAAGTCACTTGGCCACTAAAATTCTGACACATAGGATTCTCTTTCATAATTTAATTTACATCCTTTATCTTATAAAGCACAAGTCACTTGGCCACTAAAATTCTGACACATAGGATTCTCTTTCATAATTTAATTTACATAAAAATAATTTAAAAAATTGAGAACGTGGGAGAAAAACAGAAAACAAAGAAAAACGAAATATAACAACACAAAAACCTGGGCTTCAAAATTCATGGCCATTAAAACTGATATGAGTAAAGCGTATGATAGGGTGGAATGGATTTTCGTTGAGAAGGTTCTAAGAAAATTGGGTTTCTGCGAGAAATGGATTAACTGGATAATGTGGTGTATTACAACAGTTCAATATAGAGTGCTCCTTAATGGGCAACCTAGAGGACTAATTGTACCAGAAAGAGGATTACGACAAGGAGACCCGTTATCTCCTTATTTATTCATCCTTTGTACAGAAGTGCTAATTGCGAATATTCGGAAAGCAGAAAGGGAAAAACTAATTACGGGTATTAAGATAGCAAATGCAAGCCCTTCGGTTTCACATCTGTTATTTGCGGATGACAGTTTATTCTTTTGTAAAGCAAATAAGGACCAGTGTGAGGTAATTTTGGGGATTTTAAAAAAGTATGAAGCAGTCTCAGGACAACAGATTAATTTTTTAAAATCCTCGATTCAGTTTGGACATAAGGTAGATGAGGATATCAAGGATGAAATCAAATCTACCTTGGGAATCACTAATATCGGTGGGATGGGCTCTTACCTCGGTTTGCCGGAGAGTTTGGGTGGATCTAAAACAAAAATTTTCTCTTTTGTCAGAGATAGATTGCAAACAAGAATTAACGGATGGTCGGCAAAATTTTTATCGAAAGGTGGGAAAGAAGTAATGATTAAATCGGTAGCTGCAGCATTACCAACTTATGTTATGTCGTGCTTCAGGCTACCAAAAACAATCACTTCTAAACTTACTAGTGCGGTTGCTAAATTTTGGTGGAGTTCAAATGGGGATTCCAGAGGTATGCATTGGATGGCTTGGAACAAGTTGTGCAATAGTAAATCGGAAGGAGGGTTAGGTTTTCGCAATGTAGACGATTTTAATTCAGCTCTATTAGCCAAACAATTATGGCGTTTGATTACGGTTCCAGAGTCTCTTTTCGCGAAGGTGTTTAAAGGGCGGTACTTTCGGAAATCCAATCCTATGGAAAATATAAAATCATACTCCCCATCATATGGATGGCGTAGTATCTGTTCAGCTAGATCTCTGGTTAATAAAGGACTTATTAAAAGGGTCGGATCGGGGACATCCATCTCAGTTTGGGAGGATCCCTGGATTCCAGCTCAATTCCCGAGACCAGCAAAGAGTAATGGTTCACGTGTTGACCCATTGTTAAAAGTTAGTAATCTTATAGATAGTCGGTCGAATTTTTGGAATATTGCTCTCTTAGAGGAGATCTTTGATCCAGAAGATGTCGCCCTAATAAGTGCCCTACCTGTGGGTGCGCCAACTAAGGAAGATACACTAGGTTGGCATTTTACAAAATCTGGAAAATATACAGTCAAATCGGGATATCATACCACAAGGTTAGAAAAGTTGGAGACCAATTTATCATTGATTGGCCCAGACATCAAACCGTTAAAAGCACATTCTTGGCAAGTGCAGTGTCCACCTAAGATACGTCACTTTTTGTGGCAAATCTTAACGGGTTGTGTACCAGTTACGGAAAATTTGCGGAAAAGAGGAATTGATTGTGACACAGGCTGTGCCAGATGTGGCGAACCAGTGGAAACAATCAATCATACACTTTTTCAATGCCACCCGGCACGACAGGTTTGGGCACTTTCCCAGATTCCTACGGTAATGGGAATTTTTCCAACGGAGTCTATTTTTGCGAATTTGGATAATTTATTTTGGAGAATACCTTCGGAATTTGATTCTTCAGCCTTTCCATGGATTATCTGGTATATTTGGAAAGCAAGGAATGAAAAAAACTTTGAAAATATTGATAAAGATCCGTTAGAGGTATTACGGTTAGCGGAAAAAGAAGCACAATTGTGGCAGTCAGCCCAAATCGAGCTTCATCATGAAACTAATGGTATTGTGGAATTGGTAAATCGTTCTCGAGTGGGGGATGCTTCACTTGATTCGAATTATTCTGGATGTCGTTGCTTTGTGGATGGATCGTGGAAAGAAAGTGATAAGTTCTCCGGTGCAGGATGGTTTTGTACATCATCAAACGGAGAGCCGCCAACCATGGGAGCTGCCAACCTCCGTAGAAGTCTATCTCCATTACATACAGAATTCGAGGCTCTTCTCTGGGCGATGAAGTGTATGATTGGTGCAGATAATCAAGAGGTAGAGTTCCTTACAGACTGTTCTGATCTGGTGAAGATGGTGTCTTCTCCAACCGAATGGCCGGCGTTTTCAGTGTACTTGGAGGAATTTCAGAGCGACAAGGAAGAATTCTCATCCTTCTCTTTATCTTTAATTTCTCGTAATGCTAATGTAAAAGCGGATAATCTAGCACGAAAGATTCGTGCAGAACCGCTACATATCACATATGTAAACAACATTCCCCAGGAATGGCTCTTTTGAGCTCTAATTAATTTCGGATGACAAAAAAAAAAAAAAAACCTGGGCTTCTATAAAGAATAAAGCCCATCCCAAAAAAACAATTTTAAAAAAAATTAGAACGTGGAGAAAAAAAAAAGCGAAATATGACTACCAAAAATATGGGCTTCGTAAAAGAATGTAAGCCCATCCCAAATTTCCAAGCCCATAATTTTTAAGACCCTAAACGAAATAGTTTTACAGATTTTGTTTCTCTTTCTCATATCGTTTTAAAAAAAAACTGTAACAAGAATCTAATCCCTAATTTTGCTCCCACTAATTCATCCACGTTCAAGCTGATTTGTAACTGATTCATCATCTATTTAACTCCAATGAATTCATTTTTCTCCCTGTTCGATCTTTCTCTGTTTTTCTCTTCATACATGTTTTTTCCTCTCCATCTCAAGAAACCTGCGATTCAAATTCTCTTCAGGTAAAAGCTTCAGATTTATTCATATTCATTCATTCATTTTCTAATATTATCAATTTTTTGTTCAATTCAGTTGGAGATGCATCCGGATTATACTCATGTTTCACATCTAAATTCTTCACAGAAAGAATGGAAGATTAGAGCTCTAATATCCTGGACCTGAGATTTATCCCAAAGATAAACCTGAAGTGATTCTCGGTATGGAAGTTATTTTTGTGGATGAAAAGGTACAAACATTTATCAGTCTTTATTTTTAGCTTCAAATCACATTATAACATTTTTTTAATCTTACTAAATTAGCTAAAACTAATTAATGTATGTTCTAATTTTAAACAAATGCAAACATGATTTTTTTTTCTGCTTTCTTCCAAAATATCTCCCCACCTTCCCACGATCTTTTCGATCTATGAAACTAATCACCTTCTCTACGGTTTTCTTATTCCAGTAACCAATCTCATCTCCTATATGATAATGATTAAAGCATTTGTCTTAAAACCAGTAGATATTTGGTCTTCTTTAGAATAAATTTTCTCACCATCTGCATTAATTCTGTCTCTATTTAGGATTTTACTTAGCCTAAGCAAACTTATCTTCGCTTCATCCGAATTTGAAGAAGGATATCTGTAATTTTTTTTCCTGCAGGTTAAAGATACAGTCTAAATTCAAATCCAGTAGCAAGATATATCGCCTCCAACCAAATGCTCTCCTTGGTAATTTTCTACTTTTTGTTGAAACAAGTTGCATTAAAATCTTTTTTTTTTTAATTCTGCTATTAAAGTAATAATATGTTCCATTTCTGAAGATAGTCGAAAACAATTTCAACACATTGACCTTCACAAACCAGACTTCTTCAGCAAATATGAAGTTTAAGACTTTTTGTCTCCATTTTGAGTACATATTAAGACACTTGCAGACAACACCACAAGTACTTCTAAGGATGACGGCCGGCTTCAACAAGGACAAAAATTGGAAGAAGGTGAAGACGACACCACAAGTCGACCAGAAATCAGAACGTAAAGCCAACGCACATGCTCTTCTCTACTATTTAAGAAACAGTTGCAGAGAGAATGTGTTGTGAGTGAACTCAAACCTCCCTGTTTATCTCTGAAACAAGAAAATCTCCATTGTGGAACGCATGCTTTGTCTTCATGTTAATCTCATTATGTTTCTTAATTTACTATGCAATTTCAATCTAAGGCACCTATTTAATGTTTGAAACCTGTCAATAATAATATCTATTACGCTGTATCTTCACTTTTTTTTTTGTAAATTCCAAGACTAAAATGGAACATCACATTAGGAATGTGTTAACGATGCAAAGCCACTCGATGTACTCTGCATCTGCAAGTTTCCTTAATGTCACAATTTTTGTCGCTCAGCCAATTTAGAGTAGTTACTTTTGTTGTATCAAAAATTCAAAATCAATTTTTTCAAAACATTTCTTTCATGAAACGAATCCATTTAATTTGCTAAAAGAGAAATAATCTTTGGAAAACAAATAACATCATGAAAAAGGTATACTTCCTAATATTTTCTTAGGTGAATGAATGTTTGACCCCGTCCGACGGACGGGATAAATACTAGTTCAATTTATTACACAAGTGAAGAAGGGCTTTCCGACAAGTTGCTATGTTCAGACCAAACTGTAACCGACCCAAGCCCAATAAAAATCGAATCGGGTCAAAGGAAAACAGATAATTCAGAAAACCCTAAATTTGCTTCTTTTTTGTTTTCTTACTTCATTTTGCGCAAAGCATAACTATCAGGTGCGTGTGCTCTCCGCTGGTTCCTTAATAGAATCGGCACACGCTTTTTCATTTCAATCTTCCTCTACGAATCTCTC